GGTCACCAATCTTCTCTAACAAACCTCTGAGGGCTTCACAGAACATCTGTATTTATACCGAGATAAAATTAAATTACACACAGGTGGACTCCATTTACTAATTTGGTGACTTCTGAAGGCAATTGGTTCCACTAGATTTTTGTTAGGTGTATCAGAGTAAAGTGGGCGGAATACAAATGCACACAACACTTCACATATTTGTAAAACATTGTGAAAAGCATTTATCATTTTCCTTCCACTTCACAATTATGTGCCACTTTGTGTTGGTCTATCACATAAAAACCAAATGAAATACATTTACATTTTTAGTTGCAACATGGCATGTAGAAAATATAAATGGGTATGAATACTTTCCTTTTTCAAAGGCACTGTAGGTCATCACAAAATGGCTCAATGATAAAACAAAACATGGTAACAAGTAAATAAATGAAATGACCCGTTCAAAAATCTGCGTAACCTTAGTTCTTAATACGGTGTATTGCTCTTTTTAGCATAAATGACCACGTATCAGGGGCGGACTGACCATTTGAGCACTGCCCGAGGGCCCGGGGTCAGTAGGGGGCCCCATGAAATGCCTCTGGTACCTTTTATAGGCTTTTTTGGCTGTGCTTTGAGTGTGGGCAAGGACACAGGGGCCCCATGTTCCCCTATTGCCTGAGGGCCCCATGAGTTGTCAGTCCGCCCCTGCCACGTATATTAGTGGTCTATGAGGCCCTAAATTCTTGCAGGTGGTATAGCTGCCCATTAGCCTTGGCAAAATACCTCCAGGTAATGCAAAGTCTTTAGTTGTCTTGCATAAACCGCATGCTATGAGATCTCCCCCCGAGTAGCTCAAGGATTTTAAGGTCAGAAGACACTTTTCTTTTCTGCTGTAATCACTTGCGGGTCAACTTGGCCTTATTTGCTCAGGGTCATTGTGCTGGAAAGTCCATGAACATCCCATGCACAGCTTTTGTGCAGAAAAATGTAAATTGTCTGCTAGTATTTTCTGATAGCATGCTGCATTCGTCTTGCCATCAATTTTCACGTGTTTTCAGAGCTCACATACCCCCAAAACATCAGTGAGACACCACTATGCTTTATGGTATTCTTGTCACTATAGACCTTGTTGACTCTTCAAACATAGCGCTTATGGTTGTGACCATAATGCTCTATTCTGGTCTTTTCACGCGTTACAGTGTGCCAGAAGCGGAGAGGTATGTCAAGGTATCCTCAGGCGCACATTGTAACTGGGATTTTTTGTGGCATTGGTGCAGTAAAGGCCTATTTTTGGCAACTCATCCATGCAGCTTATTTTTGTTCAAGTATTGTAATTTTATGCACTCTGAAACAACAACACCGTCTTTTTCCAGAGCAGCCAGTATTTCTCCTTCGATTACCCGTAGGTTTTTCTTTGTATCCTGAACAATTCTTCTGACACTTGTAGTTGCAATCTTTCTTGGTCTACCTGACCTTGGCTAGGTATCACGAGATCCCCAAATTTTCTGCTTCTTAATAAGTGATTTGAACAGTACTGACTAGCATATTCAATACTTTGATAAAGATGGAAATGTATATAAAAAGATATCTAAAGTTCCATTATCTTGTTATACCGATTGATATTTCTTTTCTGCTCCTCAGTATCTATCCTGCTCAGTGCATTCACATGAGGGCGAACAAACTCACTATTTATACACAGACACGAATTGCAATTTAAAAAGCTACAGATGTGGAAAATGAACCCTTAATTGCCATTTTAACGTGTGTCACCTTGTGTGTCTGTACCAAGGCCAACATTTTAGGGTATGTAAACTGATTTCTGTTTAAAAATGAGAAAACTACTATGTAATAATAAAAGACTTCATATGGCCACTATCCTTAAAGAAAAAACTATTTATTGGCATGATCAGTCGTTTTCAATATCGATGCCAAAATGTCATGATTTCTGCCAGGATATGCAAAGTTTTGAGCACATCTGTACAGCAAGTTTTCAATGAATTGTTTAGCATTTCTCAATTTGGCCACTAGAGGTAGCACTTTCCTCTGGATTTTTACAGATGTCTAACTGCAAATGGTTACAACATGCTCTAAGATCTGTAAAATTGTTACATCGTGTTTAGAATACGATGAAGAAAAATGAGTCCTCACATGCTAATACCACCACCTACAGTCTAAACCAAACAGTGAAGAGGAGCAATATTAACACAACAGCACAAAGGAATCTGGCAGCCTTATTTCTCTCCAATCAGTGGATCTCAACCAGAGATTCTAAACCTGCCACGGGAGAGTTATAGGGCTGCCATTGCTGGAAATGCTACTTGACTGGCTGTTATGATAGCCCTCTGGATTTAATACTTTGCAGTTTCTATACTTCTCACCCACTCCTGTCCAGTCAATTTGTACACAGAACTTTGCTACTGGCAGTGGACAAGAGCCAAGCCGTTAAAGGGTAACTCCACTTTTGTGGGAGAAAATATAGCAAATAAAAAAAAAAAAAAACACAGCATATACAAATGCTACACCAGTCATATTGTAATTGAATCCTATTAAAAATGAAATTTCCTTTTCAATCTGTAGTGCTGTATTTTTCTGTAAAATGCAATGCAATATGGCGTTGCGTTCTGTACACAGATTATGTATGGAATGCCCTCCAAAAATGTAATTTCCTGCTTGTGTGATTGCCAATTTTCCCACTAAAGTCTGCACTAAAGTCTGCACTAAAATACAAATCAGATTTTGGGCATCTTCTGCAACAATTTCCATTATGGCAAGATACTCCCACAGTAAAATCATGTCTAAAGTGATTCAGACCCTTCCACTTTCCTTGTTAGAATCCTGCCAGTGCAGCACCTAATTGATAATTATACAGTCACTCCCATTCACATTGTACAAGGACACAAACTGCTATTTCGTCAGAATACCAAAAAGGTAGGAATTTGCAACAAAGATTGTTAAAAGCCTTGCAATGCACATAGATCATCCAGTGGGGAATTTATCTTCACAAAATTGGAATTACTCATTAAGTTGGGTATACACACACTTTTTTTTTTTATTCATCCAGTGAGTTGGGGGGGGGGGGGGGGGGGGGGTGGGGGGGGGGATGGGGAGGGTTCCCCCATCAGAATACACTAATCAGTGCTGCAGCCAACGGATGCATATGAGGATTGAATTCTGGTTTTCCAGCAGGACTGACAGAAGCCAGTCTAACAACCAGCCTCTGTTGAACAGACAGGGATACGCACAAACCGAATTTCAGCACGTGTACCTGGCTTCAGGTACTGGAAGGTACCTCCCATGCAGACGAGGTGAGGGAGTTTGGTGGGGTTGTTTTAGTACAGGTGTTGCCACTGGATACACAAAAAATGTAAAATAATTTGTGCAATTACACTGGAGTGAGAAGTGCAGTGCCTACTATACAGTGAAAGGAGAGGAGGTTGGGTATTGTTTATGTACAAGTGGGCGTTGATCTTAAAATCATTTCATTATGAATGCAACATTTTTATTCCTATACAACACATTATAAGCAAAAGTTAATTAGAAGGCAAAAGCCATGCACATTTGTGTAGTTGGGTTGAGTGTACACCACAAGCTGGAATGACCCTGTAAAGCAATGCGACCTTTTCACATTCGAATATCTGAAGTCTTCTGCCTCTAGCAAGACTAAGATTAGTTGTGGCTCTCTATATTAAGCTAAGATTTCATGCATTTTTTTGCCTGGGCAGTCCACTAGTCAATAAGGTCCACAGTGTGCTGTGACTGTGAAGGAAGCAGGGTTGGAAGGGGCAGGCACTGTTAGTTTAGTGATTGCAAACGGACAAACTGACTAATCAACTTCAACAAAAGCTCACCACGTTTCAGTCATGGCATCTGTATCCCTGCAAGGAGTGAAACATGGCTGAGATTGAGGTACATTGTATTGAATTTGTATCATACAGTGGCGCTAGTTCTAAATAAAATGTCAACAGCTAAGCTGTTTGTAGGGGAAAGATTTTGTCCACATCTTACCTACAATGGTGTTTTCGACTTGCCAACCAAAACTTGCTATCACAGTTATAACAATTTGCTGCTAGATGATCTGGTAGCCATCTTGTCACCTATAAAACAGAATAAAAGTAGATTAGATTTCACACAACCACCCACAACTTCATGTTGCTGTGAGCTTGAAATAAAATTTCTGTACCTAAAATATCCACCCAACTTGCCATAGACATTATAAAAGGGGTCCAATTCATCTTGCTGCACTATGGAGAATGAAGCTGGAAAGCTACATTCCCTAAAACTGAGTGGGTGCATGGGACAGGGAAGTCCATGGGCCACTCATGTATTCCCAATGTTCCTGCTGCATTTAATGTTCTCCTTACTGAATGGCCAAAGCTACAGAAAAGAAAGGTAAGCTACTTTATCTATAAAATGTGATACCACATGCCATTATACTTTAAGGTCAGATCCATCAAACATAAAATTGAAAATGAATACCATGGAATAGCTATGATAGACATACATCATACAGAAAATGAAATTCCTTCTGTATTATTGCTTTGTTGATGTATGTTTGAACTGAAAAGGTTTCCAGGACCCATTTGTCCTGCAGATGTATTTCCCCACGGACTTTTGTAGGTCTGATTGTAAGCAGAGAGTGGGTTGCGCAGAACTCACATTCACTGGAAGACTAGTTTCACCTAAACTCACGATCTGAATTTTCCCTTTAATTAAAGCAAACCTGTAACACATTTGGGAAATTCAAACTGATGATATCATGAAAAATAAATGATATGATTGACAGACTCACTGACCAACAGGAAAGCTCGGGGTGAAACTAAACAATTTTTAAAAGGAAAAATATATAAATCTTACATCTGCATCCACTCATCATTTTGACATAAAGGTAAGTATCAGCCTATGCCTTTTATCACCAGATGCTCACTGTGCTTGGTAGACAACTACAGTGTGAGGTCTTCCGCTTTCGTTGTATGTTCATACTGGGAAAGATTAAAGTGAGGGGAACAGTTTTCAAACTGAACCTAATGCTTTTGGATGGTGAAGAGGACAGAAGGCTTACTTCAGTGTCCCTCTTGTCTACCTGCTCCCAGCTGGCCTCAGAGAAAGGCTCTGTGCTGCAGCCCGACAAACAGCTGGGGTCCCGATTGCTTTCAGAGTCAGGAATTGAGGTCTGCAAAGGGTAAAATCACAATAAGAAATTCACCAATAACATAAAAATGTACATAAAAGTGGTCACTGTAACACCTATGCACACTTGCAAGGATGCTTGGAATTGAGAGCAGATCAGTAAGGGGCCATATGAGAACAGGTCAGTTTTCCTTCTACTAGTTTTCAGACTCTGCGTTTATGTTGCAGAGAACTGGGTTCCTTTGCTACACTACTATCCACATTTACTTGATCCTTCTGAATGTAACAGGATAAAAAAGTACACCAGGAGCAACCATGCACATCAAGACAAAGTTCAGCTCTCCAGGTGGAGGTGCATATGTTTCACTGCCAAGCTGATAGTTCTCTATTAGCACAGCCTAGTGAAAACAAGTCACAAGAAGAATACAGCATCTCAACAACACTGCAAAGAAGCTTTGAGCTTTATTTTGTGTGTCTAATCAGTGCATGTTGTCCATAGTGCCCAATCAGATTGCAGTATGCCCATAACGAAAGTCAGCTTTCTGAATACAATTCCTCCTAATTGTATAGCATGTACATCACAGCGCTAAGAGAAAAGAGGACCTTTGTGATAAAATATTTAACCTGTATAGGACTTCCTATCAGGGTTACAGTAACAATACACTTTCATGCTTTGACACTCAGATCTAATCAGCCCATCAGAACTCACCACCTCATCTGTATATTCTCCATTGAAACGGAGGGGGCTGTTGTGTAAATGGCTCTCAAGTCGACAACGTAGCTCCTGCACTTGTTTCTTCAAAGTTTCCACTTCTTGTTGATGGCCACTTTCCATTTGTCTCAGTCTTTGCTGAATAGCATCCACATACAACGGCATCCCATCATCATCCAAGTGATTGCGGGCTGGCTGCTCTGGGGTGCTCCTATGCGGTGCCTCCCACAACTGTGCAAAGGGCACTTGTGTGGGATGTTTCTGAGGTGGATTTGAGGGTTGTTTGAACAAGAATTCTGACGTGACAATGTCTGCTTTCCCCGACGATTGTCCACACTAAGACATGGTCCATCTAGGATAGGAGGAGGTGAGGATTGGTCCCTATTCCATACAGTCTGTGCATTGCATTCAGAAGGGGGAAAGGCACTATGAATAAGGGGAAAAGGGAGAACACGTCCTTTCATTTTGAAGCCCACACAAGCCCGTCATAACGATGCCTTCATCAGATACCTGTTCTGGTTTCTGTGAAAGTTCATTTGCTGCGGTCACATGGTCCAGCATGCTGGACCATGGAGGTGAATGATCATCTGTTAAAGTTTCTGTGGAGGTTTCAAGTACAAGGTGTGATGGGAAATTGTTAGAATCATCTGTGGGACTACTTCGGAGTTCATCTTTTGACCCGCTTTCATCACATTTCTCATTCTCCTCTGGCTCAGAGGACAATTCCTCAGCAGTCTGGCTCTGTGATTCCTCAGGCTCACATACCTGATTAGCACATAACTCTTTCGCAGACTGCTCAAATGATTCAGTTCCATGTTCTGGGTGGTCAATTTCTGCACATAGCTGCCCTGGCATGAGACCGACACTCTCTATTTCCCCATCATTTTCCCCCTTTACTGTGTCACCATTCAAGTATGACTCCTTCTCTGATTTCTCTGGCCCTTCCTGTGCTTTTTCTGATTTCTCTATATACCCGTCTACTTCCCCAATTGCCAATTTTCCTGCCTGCTCTTCCCCCCCTCCTTCTTCCTTGCTGGCTTCCTGTAAAATGTTTTCCATTTGCCCTTCCCCAACACCAGCTGCCATGGACAGCTGTGCCCCTAGAGGGAGTCTCTCTCCTTCCTGCCCTTCTTCTACAGAGTTTGCCAAGCCGTTTAACTCCAGAGAACGTCGATGCTCCTGCCACTTCTCATTTAGGCTGGGGTCGCTGCTTCGCCGGTTTACACATGGTACAGTTAAGTCACAAGCCGTTGGAAGGTCGTCATATGATCTTGTCTTCGGTAACCTAAAATGACACCATGAGAGAAACTACTTCAGAAAAGCACATAAAAAAATTTGACTACAGCAGAATCCTACACATAACCTGCATGTCCAGCAATTATATAATTTTTTGTAACCTAGTCCTGTAATTTCCTGAATACACACACACACACACACACACACACACACACACACACACACACACACACACACACACCACACACACCTATATATATTTGACACACACAGACACACTTTTAGCTTTTTTTTTTTTTTTCCAGGTATTTATCAAAACTTATTTCAAGCTATAGTTCTATAATGGATATGGGCTGAAAGTGCACATTCTCAGGTTTAATGTGAGGGTATGTACATCCATACTGGAGGAAGGGGTTAGGAAATACAGCTCTTAAGAGTAGCCATCCCCTCATTTTCAAACGGACCAAAAGTAATTGGACAATTGAATCAAAAGCGGTTTCATGGCCAGGTGTGGGCTACTCCATTTCTTCATCAATTAGGCAGGTAAAAGGTCTGGAGTTGATTCTAAGTGTGGTATTTGCATTTAGAATCTATTGGTGTGAACCTACATCAGGTGAACCAAATCAACAGTTTGGTACATTCTGAGGAAAGGACGAATGCACTGGTGAGCTCAGCAACATAAAGAGACATGGATGTCAACGGAAGACAACAGTGGTGGATGATCGCAGGATCCTCTCTGATAAAGAAAAAACCCAATCACAACATCCAGACAAATGAAGGCCACTCTCCAGGAGGTGGGTGTATCATTGTCAAAGTCTACAATCAAGAGAAGACTTCACGAGACCAAATACAGAGGGGGTTCACAAGGTGTAAACCATTCATAAGCCTGAAGAATAGAAAAGCCAGATTAGAGACTTTGCTTTTCCAGAAAGGATCTGGCTTTAGATTTTTTTTTTTTTTTTTGGCATTCTTTCGACGGCTGAAACAAAAATTCATCTGTACCAGAATGAAAGGAAGAAAAAAAAAAAAAAAAAAAAAAAAAAAAAAAAAAAAAAAAAAAAGCGTGAAGGCTTGGAACGGCTCATGATCCAAAGCACACAACATAATCTGTAAAACATGGTGGAGGCAGTGTGATGGCATGGTCATGCACAGCTTCCAGTGGCACTGGGTCATTGGTGTTTGATGATGCGACAGAAGCAGCCGGATAAATTCTGCAGTGTTTAGAGATATACTGTCAACCCAGATTCAGCCAAATGCTGAAAAGTTGATTGGCTGGAGCTTCATAGTACAGATGGAAAATAATCCAAAAAAACACACTGCAAAAAGCTACCCAGGAGTTTTTGAAGGAGGAAGTAAAATATTCTGCAATGGCCTGAATCAATCACCTGATCTTAACCCAATTGAGCATGCATTTCACTTGAAGGCAAAACTAAAGGCAGAAAGCCCCACAAAAAAACAACTGAAGACAGCTTTAGTTAGAGCCTGGCAAAGCATCAGAAAGGGAGGAAACCCAGTCTATGGTAATGTCCATGGGTTCCAGACTTCAGGCAGTGATTGCCAGTAAAGGATTCTCAACAAAATATTAAAAATGAACATTTTATTTATGATTATATTCTTTTGTCCAATTATATTTGAGCCCCTGAAAATGGGACTGTGTATAAAAATGGTTGTAGTTCCTAAAATTTGTACTTGAGATTTATGTTCAACACCTTGAATTAAAGCTGAAAGTCTGCACTTTAAATTAATGAAACAATCCAAATGAATTTGTTCTGGTGGCATGCAGATACAAAAAGTATGAAAATTGTGCCTCTGTCCAAATATATATTAATATTATTATTATACAGGACTTATATAGCACCCAGCAGTTTGCTCAGCGCTTTACATTATAGTGGGAGACAATACAGTTCAATACACGAGGGGATTAGAGGGCCCTGCTCCTTGGAGCTTACAATCTAGGAGGGAGGGGATAGTGGTACAAGAGGTAATTAGCTGTGGGGGATGGACTGGTGGTAGGAGGAGTAGTTGATTCCAGTATTAGCTGGGGTCGGGGTAGGCTTCCCTGAAGAGATGGGTTATCAGAGTGCGCCTAAAGGTGAGCAGAGTAGGCGATAGCCTGATAGCTTGGGGTAGGGAGTTCCAGAGGATGGGTGAAGCCCTTGAGAAATCCTGGAGACGAGCATGGGAGGAGGAGACAAGGGAGCTAGAGAGTATGAGGTCTTGTGAGGAGCGGAGAGTATGGTTTGGGTGGTATTTAGAGACAAGGTCGGTGATGTAATTAGAGGCAGTGTTATGAACGGCTTCATACGTCAATGTTAGTGTTTTGAATTTTATCCGTTGGGCAATTGGGAACCAGTGGAGGGATTGGCAGAGAGGGGTGGCAGATATAGATATAGGGGTGAATATATATGGACCCAACTGTACATACATGCATACCAGGGGCGGACTGACAACTCATGGGGCCCCCGGGCAATAGGGGATCATGGGGCCCGTGTCCTTGCCCAAACTCAAAGCCTATGAAAAAGGTACCAGGGGCATCTCATGGGGCCCCCTACTGACCCTGGGCCCTCGGGTAGTGGCCGAGTTTCCAAATGGTCAGTCCGCCTCTGATGCATACATAAACACACCTCAATAACAAACACTTCAATAAATTAGAATATCACCACAAAGTTGTTTCAGTAATTCAGTTCAAAATGTGAACCTCATTATATAGATTCAATACACACAGTGATATATTTCAAGCATTTATTTTAATTTTGATTATTATAGCTTACAGCTAGTGAAAACCCAAAATTCAGCATCTCATAAAATTTGGATATTGTGAAAGTTCAATATTGTAGCTTCATGGTGTCCCACTCTAATCAGCTAATTAACTCAAAATACCTGTAAAAGGGTTCCTGAGCCTTTAAACGGTCTCTCAGTCTGGTTCAGAAGGTTACACAATCATGGGGAAGACTGATGACTTGATAGTTGTCCAGAAGACAATCACTGACACCCTCCACAAGGATGGTAAGTCACAAAAGTTCATTGTAAAGAAGCTGGCTGTTCACAGAGTGCTGTATCCAAGTATATTAATGGAAGTTGAGTTGGAGAAAAAAAAAAAAAAAAAAAAAAAGCGTGGTAGAAAAAAAAAAAAACAGGGAAAAAACCGCAGCCTTGAGAGGATTGTGATGCAAGGACCATTCAAGAATTCGGGGGAGATTCACAAGGAGTGGACTACGGCTGGTTTCAGTGTTTCAAGAGACACCACACACGTCAGAACCTGTCTTACCTGTGCTAAGGAGAACCACTGTTGCTCAGTGGTCCAAAGTCCTTTTTTCGGATGAAAGTAAATTTTGAATTTCATTCGGAAATAAAAGGTCCCAGTGTCTGAAAGAAGAGTGGAGAGGCACAGAATCGAAGTTGCATGAGGTCCAGTGTGAAGTTTCCACAGTCAGTGATAATTTGGGGAGCCATATCATCTGCTGGTGTTGGTCCACTGTGTTTTATCAAGTCCAAAGTCAGCGCAGCCCTCTACCAGGAAATTCTAGAGCACTTCATGCTTCCCTCTGCTGACCAGGTTTATGGAGATGTGGATTTTCCAGCAGGACTTGGCACTTTTGGCAGTACCTGGTTTAAGGATAACAGTATCATTGTGCTTCATTGGCAAGCAAACTCGCCTGACCTAAACCCCATAGAAAATCTGTGGGGTATTATCAAGAGGAAGATGACAGACTCCAGACCCAACGATGCAGATGAGAGGAAGGCCGCTATCAAAGCAACCTGGGCTTCCATACTTCAGCAGTGCCGCAGTAATTCATGCAAAAGGAGCCCAGACCAAGTATTGAGTGAATACTATACTGTACATGCTTTTCATTAAGCCAACATTTCTGCATTAATTTTTTTTTTTTTATTGGTCTTATGTAATATTCTAATTTTCTGAGTTACTGAATTTTGGATTTTCACTAGCTGTAATCAAAATTAAAAGAAGGAAATGCTTGGAATATAATCAGTGTGTAATGAATCTATATAATATACGAGTCTCACGTTTTGAATTGAATCACTGAAATAAATGAACTTTTTGATGATATCCATCTCATCAGTGGACTGAATGGAAACTGAAAGAAAACATTAACAGTAGTGAATTTTATATGGATAATTCTGCTTGGACCCCCAGTCGTCTCATGGGGCAGTTTTGCAATTTTCTGATTTGCACATTTAGAGCAAAGTAACAGGCCACCTCCTCTGCTACGGATTGTGACCTTACGCTGCATTCTTGTGTTTGCCTGGCAGAGTAAGATATCCTATGTAAAGCTCAGTATGCATGGCAGTGCTTGAGTCTTGCAATCAGCTGCTCAGGTGCAGAGCACTGCATAATTGGAATAAAGAGAAATGCTATTGGATGAACCTGTTACTTGACAAACACCTGACTGACACGGACCTGAAACTGGCTGAATTTCAGGAGCCCTAACACTTAAGGTTTACCACTACATTACAGCAAATTTATTGAACAGAAAAAAACAAAATGTGACAGGGAATTGTGGTGAAAACCTATAATAGGTTTTATATACGTATAAACAGAGGTGGTAACAGGAATATGATCAGAAGAAGTTTCTTTGGTTGTAATTAGGAGAAAAGACCTACATGCACTCGCTGCCCTCACCTGCCATGTGGTGGTTCCTCTGTGGCAGAACCAGGGCTTGGGTAGGGGATGCAGGATTCTTCACTAGGTGTGGATGGAGATGAGCCAGGAAGGTAAACTGCACTCCACAGCATCAGATTGCGGACATGGCACACAGGAAACAGAACCTATGAAAGAAAAAATTTGAGGGGGGTCTTGCTTAAAGCGGCAGTAAAGTCAGATTTATCACATGTAGCTAAAGGTAAACCTATGTCTTTACTGTGGTTACAATGAATATCTCCTAAACGTATGCAATTTAGGGGATATTCACATCGGCAGGAGCCGATTATTTCACTGTGAGTGTTTTGTCAAGGCAGGAAGTGCTGTGCCAAGATCATAACTCCCATGCGCAGGAGGAGTGATGTCATCCAAGTCTGGCCATTCAAAACGGATAGACAGCATGAATTCTGAAGGAAGATCGTGTGAAGATGGAAGTGAAGGAAACGTGCCGCTGGAGGGCTCTGCTTGACAGGCAAGTCTACCTTAATGTGCTAGTACATGATGCATATTAGCACATTATGGCATAGCAATGCAGGAGGACCATTTAATCAAAATTTGTTAGTGGAGTTTACTACAACTTTGCACATATATGGCTACAGATCTATATTGCGTGTATGGTTAAAGACAAAATTTAAAATCTGGACACTTGGTACCTCAAAAGTGGTAGTAAGCCCAAAAAAAAAAAAAAATATGATATTGCAGCTTACCAATTAGATTTTTTAAGAATATTTTCCCTTGGTTTTCAGCCAGTGATCTGGCTAGTAACACGCCTCCTGTATTAGGATGCCCCCATTCTGAATCAAGAAGCACAGGGGAACCATTGAACAGCAACAATGTCAGTCTGGCGGGAGGGGAGTGTGTTAGATGTACTAGCAGAATTAAATACACTAACAAATTGAAGCCAGCTCAAACCTTTATAAGCAGTTACAGCAAACTTTTTACATAAATAAAAACCGATCAATTTAAATCACCCCTGCCAGTGGTAAATGGTGTGTATCATCCCAGTTACTGCAAGATAGCTTATTCTGTTGAAAAAGAACAGACTTACTGGCTGGATCAGTAGATGAAAATAAAGAAAAGTAAAAATGAAAAAAAAAAACAAAACAAAAAAAAAAAAAAAAAAAAAAACGGAAACTAATGCAGCCATCACATCTAAGAATTAGTAAGCTGCATTATAATAAATGTTTGTTTTTGGGCTTAACACTGCCATTCCACAATGCTCACAGTACAAGAGAAAATATAAAATTTGAATGAATGTAACGTTATTTATTCATTTATAAAACTGCTGAAAAACTGTGCAATACTTTTACAGAGCACCTAAAACTATTCACACCAGTTCCAGCATACCCTACCAGAGCTTACCATCTGGATATTCCATCCTACCTGTTCAAAATCAAAATAGAAATTAACTTTATTTAGGAAAAATTTCATAACACACTAAAGCAGCGTTTCTGAACTGGGGTGCCGTGGCAAAATGCCATAAAACTGCCCAAACCCACAACAGTCTGATCAGAGAGTGATCCTGTGGTAACTCCTGTGTACAGACAGAAGGAAGAGAGCACAGCCTGCACCTCCTCCCTGCTATCTGTACTCCTGTCAGCAACCCACGAAGCTGTGTGGGTCATGCCTGCCCGTGACCTACCAACCAATGAGGTTACTGGTTGCCAAGGACAGGCTGGGCAGATTGAACAGCTTACTGGGTTGCCAACAGGGTTACAGATAGCAACAGGGAGGAGGAGAGAGCTGGGAGGAGGTTCAGGCTGTGCTCTCTGCCAACTGTTGGTACATAGGTGTCTACACAACATTACACCCCTGATCAGACTGTACAAAGTTTGATTACCGTCCCCCATCTCCTCCCCACTCTACTCCCTGTCTGGGCAGCAAAAACTGAGTTGAGGGAGATCATCAAACCCTGCAACAATGTCAGATCTGAGTGTGTTCTGTTTTATCTGCGTTATACAGACAGGGAGGATTTGGCAGCAGGGGGACAGGGGGGGGGGGGGGGGGGTGGGTGGCCTTTGCCTTTCAAACTACATTTTAGAATGCGAATGCGCAGTGGAGTAACAAGTGCTAAATTGGGGCAGCACAGTGGTTAAATGGTTAGCACTTCCGCCTGGCAGTACTAGGGTCGCTGGTTCGAATTTTAACCAGGGCTCCACCTACCTGGAGTGCATGTTCTCCCTGTGCCTGTGTGGGATTCCTCCAGGTACTCCTGTTTCCTCCCACACTCCAAAGACATGCTGGTAGGTTAATTGGATCCTTTCTAAATTGGCCCTAGTATGTGTATGTATGAATGTGAGTTAGGGACTTTAGATTGTATGCCCCTTGAGTGTTAGGGACTGATGTGAATGTACAATATAGCTGTAAAGTGCTGCGTAAATTAACGGCACTATACAAGTACCTGAAATAAAATAAATAGCGTAATTTCTCGTACTACTCAAAAATGTGCTGCCTTTTGCAGATGCAGGCGACATTAATTCCCACACATCTAGCACCCCCAACATCTAACAAATGTGTACATTGGCGCCCGCTAAAACTCACAGCATCATGTATTTTTGTATGGCACGATTTAACCACTTGCCCTCCTGACGATTTACCTACCCCCCTCCTTCTTGACCAGGCCATTTTTTTTGCGTTACGGCACTGCGTTTAAGTCTTTTCCCACATATTGAGCTCTCTTTCAGTGGTATTTGATTGTCTGTGCGTTTTTTTTATTGCTTGTACTATAAAATTTTTTTTAAAAAGACTGACAATTTTGAGAAAAAAAAATTTGACTTTTTGCTATTAAAACACGTACAGTAAAAAAAAAAAAAAAAAATCAAATTTAGTTATAAAATTTAGGCCAAAATGTATTCTGCTACATCTGCAAAAAAAAAAAAAAAAAAAATCCCAATACGTGTAAATTAAATGGTTTACGTGAAAGTTTTAGTGTTTACAAATGGCGGTATAGATACTGGAATTTTTTTTTTGTATTAGTAATGGTGGTGATCAGCGACTTATAGCAGGACTGCGGCGGGCATTCTGACATTGGGGCAAACTGACTTGGTGTCACTGACATCCCTAGTGGCACCAATACAGTGACCAGTGCTTAAAAAAAAAAAAAACCAAAAACAAACAAAAAAAACCCAAAAACCCAAAAAAAACCCAAAAACAAAAACAAAAACAAAAACCAAACAAAACCAAAACAAAAACACCACACTGACACTGTACTAATGGCACTGGGCAGGAAGGTGTTAACATGAGGGCCGATCAAAGGTTAACTGTGTGCCCTTTTACTTGTGTCTGTGCGTCACTGTAATCACACTGCTTTGGATGGATGTGCACATCCATCCAAAGCAGTGTGCATGAGCAGACAGGGAGAACTGTCTTGTTTACATACAGTTCTTGGAGATGCTTGGCAATAACCAGCTGGGCTGGCGGCGTGGGTAGGAGGGCATGCACCCCCTACCTGGAAATGCAAAATCACATCTATAAAAAACGTATGAAGCAATATATCTGTTATAGGGTGGGAGGCGGTTACAAAAAAAAAAAAAAAAAAAAAAAAAAAAAAAAACACAAAAAAAACAACACCAAACAAGCACCTCTTTTGTGTTTGAAGAGCATAGAGTATCCCATTAGGGAGCGTGCAAAAAAAGTGAGCATGCTTAGATGCTGAAGGGTACAAGCCCTCAGACTAGTATGCCCTGGAATTTTGTGCAATTTTAAAAAGGGTGCCTTGACTGAAACAAGCTAAAACAACATAGCACTAAAGAGCATTCTTAGAAGGTTAAAACAGAACCTGTCAAAATAAAAATATGGGAGCGGATACTTAAGACTTTTTTTTTTTTTTTTTTTTTTTTTTTAATAATTTCAGGCACTGGAGTTGTCATCCTGATCCTGGCTCCTGTAGTGAGTCACCAACAAACAAGAATTTGCACATCTGGATAAAGAAAAAATCTGACTTCTTCCCTCCCCCTAGTTCTAATTCTTATGTAGCAGCTTTTTTTAAATTGGTATGTGGCAAAATTGTAATTTAATTTAAAATTTTTCTAAAGTAAAAATAGTTTACAACTGAGTGAACAACAGGCCTTAAAATGTTTAGCTGACAATACCTCCATTGTCATCAAGCCCTCTGACAAGGGAGGCAACATTGTCATAATGAACAATGATCAATATGTGCAATAAGATCCTCTCTAAGAGATTGGTATCGTCGAATTTCATACGATTTGGTGGATAAGTTCAACAATCAATTCTATGAATTGGTTGGTACCATGTACCTTCATGGAATTATCACTAAATCCACATGGGATTTTGTTAGAACTAGTTTTCCAAGGATTCCTACTTTTTATTCTCTTCCAAAAATCCACAAGAAATTAGATAAACCCCCAGGAAGACCAATTATTAGTGGCAATGTTTCTGGTCAATTTGTTGACGATCTGGAGACCTCGTGTGTAGCAAGTCTTCCATCTTACGTTAAGGATACTATACATCTATTAAAAATTGATAACTTACATATACCTGAAGAAGCCCTATTGGTAACAATAGATGTAGAAGCATTACCCATGATAGGGGAGTAGCAGCAATTCAACATATTTTAGCACAAAGGAGACATCTCTTTCTTTGTTTCAGCACAATGTATTCACTTTCAACGGTTCCCACTAACTCCAGGTGCAGGAGGTGGAGATGGGGACCTCCTGTGCCCCATCCTACACCAACCTGTACCTGGGGGAGTGGGAACAGAGGTTTTTGGCCGATGAGGATTTATCGGTATATACGGACCACATTTGTATGTGGAGATATTATACCGATGACATCTTAATGGTACGAGACAGTCCAGAGGATCTCTTAAATGGATGTCGTGAGATTGAACTCATTCTTGTTCATTCTCTCCAATTTACCATGATGTGTGATAAAAAGGAAGTTACCATCCTGGATGTTAGTATTCAGGTAAAGAACGATGGCAGTTTAAGCAGAGACTATATCGCAAACCAACTGCTGGCAAACCCATATTGCATGCTTCCAGTTTCCATCCCAAGGCATCAATTTCATCCAATATTTGAGAACAAGGAGGAATTGCTCAGATGAGCAATCCTTCAAAGAGGAGGCAGATGCACCCTGTACCAGATTACTGGGGAGAGGTTATACCAAGTCTTGCTTAGCCTCCCTGGTGGGACTCCCGAGTGTAGCTTGGGGTTAAGTTTCAGTACCAGAAGCGGTAACCCCGAGCTACACTTGGGATTACACTGCAGCATTGCTCTGAGGTCCCTTGAGCACTTACCTTGTCCTGCGGTCCCGCGATGTTCCCCCTGCAGCATCCACAGCCATGTCCTCCAGCTGATGCTGGCATCCGTCTTCTGGGTTCTGTTCCCTGCGAGTGTCAGGATGTACGGTGGACAGAACCAGCAGGAATTTCAAAAAAATAAAAAATTTTGACACTCAATACACTAAAATCTGACAGTATTACATTACTGTATCAAACCATTTCACATACATTTTGTCCCGAGTGCTTTGTCCTGTGCCCTGCCTGCATTTTTACTGTTCTTTCTGCCTGGAAACTGAGAAAAGTCTATAGCATCCAAAAAGCGCCCCTTTAGGTCAAAAGCGGTTTTAGACCAGCTAGAGAACAGCGATAGTGAATTAGAACCACTAGCAGAATTGAGTGATTTGTGGGGAAATTCATCAGACACTGAAAACGATTTTGCAACCAAGCTCAGTGATATGCAAACTTGGCGCTCTATTTCAAATTTCAGTGTTTTTGGTTTGATTAAATTAAATGTATTTTTTATGATTATTATAATTTATGATTTCGTGTTTCAAACTTTATCATACCCGGGATGTTTACTAGACTCTTGTTCGAACAGATCTCAGTGAGTGATTCCTAAGAATTACAGGCCTACAATAAAAAAAAAAACACAACATATTTCCATTGAAAACAATGTACCGCTTTGAGCACAGAAATACTGACATAATCAGACCGCTAGGGAGGTTAAAGAAAGCCTTCAAATGTGCCTGTAGTAATGCAAGAAATTACCTCTATAAAGATTCTAATAAAAAAAGAAAAACAAAAAAAAAAAAAAAAAAAAAAACACAACAACATCAGATCAAACTAGAATCATTATGAAGTTTTCAAATCAGCACAACGAAGTTAGAGATATCATTTGGAAAAATTGGCATCCACTAACCATAGATCCCATGATAGGTAAATTTGTACCCCGCTACCCCTTTAATCACTTTTAGGAAAGCAACATCAGTCAAGGATCGTATCATACAAAGTGAATATAAGGGTGATGTACCTAGAGGTCCTTGCAAACTAAAGGGTACATTTTGTAATTACTGTAAGTATATGTACACAGAAGTATAACCTAGGCTACCCAATGGGGTTTCCTTGAAACCAAAAAATTTTGCAAATTGGTCGAACTGCAGGGGGTGATATACAGTATATCTGCTTTGTGAATGTGGTTGCTTCTATGTGGGAAAGACCAAGTTGGAATTTTGGAGATGTGCATATAGACACATAAAAATCATTTTAATGCAATATCGTACACCATAGCACAAAAACTTTAATGTCCTGTGGGGGGATTGTATATTTTACTATTACTCTGTACATCTGTTTGAGACCCCATTTCGGTCTATGTAATTTTCGGTTTTATATTCTGTATAATGTTCTGTATCAAATGTTTGTTATAATATTGATTCAACATGCTATGCATAAGGTCTATACAGTGTTGATTAGCGATATGTCCGATTTCATGTTTTTTCAGCTGCCTCCCTGGCCATGGGGCCAGTTGGGCTTGAACTTGGGTGACGGGTTTTTTTTTTTTTTTTGGGGCGCCCGGCATGCTAGGGCTGTGCCACCGGATCATTCAGGGCCCAGTGAGTGCAGCAATGCGTGGCCACCATGGTTGGGGGTTTTGGCTTTCCTTGCCACTCCCCCTTCCTTTTGTGGCTGCATCTGTCTTCTCAGCGTGTAGCTGGTGCGTTGAGGCATGACGTCACTCCACACAATGCGGCATGGTGACTCCGCGCACCATGGGGGGGCTGTTGCCCGGAGATGTCCTTCATGGAGCAGGTGTGGGATCGACGTTTTGGCGCCATTTTCCCTTCTCAGTTCCTTTTGGGGGCAGTCATCACTTCCAGGATCCTTCAATCAGGGCCCAATATAATTGAGTCCTCCTTTTCACAATTTGACACTCCTTACTTAGAGGTGCCAGTATGGATCTCTTATGGCTATACCATGATATTGTCCATGATGGTAAGCACTACATAGACTCTTACATTTAATAGTAAGCTTATCTACTTCTGTGGAATTTGGAAGGCCTATGTGTACGCCTCTTTTTTGGGCTTAAAAGATATGTATTCATTAGTTCCTTCATCTATGTTTTCTTTAAAGGGGCACATGATGTGACTGGACAGAGATTTGTGGGTACCTTTGTATATACGGCCTATGGTCTATTCATGTAGATGCCAATATATCGGTTTGGGAACATCGAGACCTCTGATAAGTATAATGGTGGATTTTCCTGCCTAGTCAATTTGCGGCTCCCTTTTTCTTCCACTATGTGGTCCACATATGTAGACATTTTTTTATTTCTATTATGTAAATCCTCTTTTTGTAGTGATTTGGGTGGCCCGTGTTCTGTCTTGATGGGATCCTTAGGTTTCCAGTGTCCACAGGAGCACTGGTCAGGAGGTGCTGACATTTTGGAAGTCTGTTTTTAATAAGATTGAAAACCCATACACGTTTTGATCTTATGTCAGTATACCTATACATTTGGAACCATGTAGACACTATATTTGGTTGTATATGTTATGTAATAAATAATTGTATTTTCAATCTGACAGACTATATCATCTTTACACAGAGTGTTTGCTATCCCTGAGGAAGGAGTGTTAATTGTTTAATAATTGCATGACATCCTTTCATGGTGATATATTATATAGCACGTGATTGTTTTGTAATATGGTGTGTTATGACATAAATTTTATGAAATTTTGATAAAATAAAGATGTCACAACTTTAAATTTTATGTATGATGCCTTCAAAGTCCCATTTAGTCTAGTTTTTTTTTTTTTTTTTTTACATCTTTATCCAGTTGTATAGGGATGCTGACAATTTATCAGGAATTTTCTTTTCCTTTTCTCAGAATGTGCACATCGGGCATTTATGATACTTCCCTGGGTGAATGCTTGTTCTCAGTCAGCAACTCATTAGGCCTAGAAATGAAAAACAGCCTGGGCCTTGCAATCAAAAAAGTCAGCAATGCATATTTCTGTCTTCATGGGTTTCTTTGTAGTCAAAATTTTCCAAAATATCATTACTGTGCATGAACATGTCCGCAAAGTTCAAGAAAAGGAACCAAGAGAAATGTAACTTATATAAAACACAGCAAGAGTAAGCATTAGTGGGTTTGTGCCAAAGGAAAGAAAAGGTGGGACAGGTAGCAACTTTGCATGAGCAGCCAACTTACTGTTTCTGACTGAGAGGAATACAGCAAATTCTTGAAAACACGGTTACCGGCTCGCAGAAGTGACCAAACGGAACAAGTACGCTCTTGTATGTGTTTCTCACTCCTCTCCTTGGCGTTGTTACACAGGAAGGTCCCAAAAAGGCAAGAGTAGGTGTGCTGTACCAATTTCACCTGAGTACAATAGAGGCTAGATAAAGTCACTACATTATACACACATAGCATCAATTGTGTTTGCATTCAATTTGCATCAAAGGAAAAAAAAAAAAAAAAAAAAAAAAAAACAAACAGTGTGGATTTTTGTTAGCCATTTCGTTTTCGTTTTATCGTATTTTACAGGAGGGAACCTTGGAAGCCAATTACAGCAAAAAAAAAAAAAAAAAAAAAAAAGCAAGCTTGAAAAGCTATACCTGTACCCCCAATACTGCTGAACAAGGCTATGTTACTGAGAAATGGTTGTGCCAAAGTCTGCTAGGGAACCATCATCTATATTCTAAAGGCCCAATCATCTATCTGATCGCCTTAAATAAAAATACAATTTTAGAACACACACACAAACTTTCCTTGCTACTAAATATTCCACAATCAACTGTTACTGGTATTATAACAAAGTGGAAGCAACTGGGAACAACAGTAACTCAGCCATGAAGTGGTAGGCCATGTAAAATGATAGAGTGAGGTCAGTGCACGCTGAAGCGCAGAAGTCGCCAACAGTCTACAGAGTCGATAGCTAAAGACCTCCAAACATCATGTGGTCTTCAGATTAGCACAACAGTGCGTAGAGAGCTTCATGAAATGGATTTCCATGGCCGAGCAGCTGCATCCAAGCATTACATCACCAAGTGCAATGCAGTGGATGCAAAGCTGTAAAGCACGCCACCACTGGACTCTAGGGCATCGAATTGCCTGACAGGCAATCTGATGGATATGACTGGGCTTGGCGGTTTCCAGGAGAATGGTACTTGCCTGACTACATTGTGCCAAGTGTAAAGTTTGGTGAAGAGGGTTTATGGTGTGGAGTTAATTTTCAGGTGTTAGGCTTGGCCCCTTAGTTCCAGTGAAGGGAACTCTTAAGGCATCAGCATACAAAAACACATTTTGGACAATTTCATGCTACCAACTTTGTGGCAACAGTTTGAGGGTGGCCCCTTCCTCTTCCAACATGACAGTGTGCAAAGCAAGGTCCATAAAGACATGGGTGAGTGAGTTTAGGGTGGAAGAACTTGACTGGCCTGCACCTGAACCCAATAGAACTCCTTTGGGATGAATTAGAGCAGAGACTGCGAGCAAAGGCCTCCTTGTCCAACATCAGTGCCTGACCTCACAAATACACTTCTGGAAGAATGGTCAAACATTCCCATAGACACACTCCTAAACCTTGTGGACAGCCTTCCCAGAAGAGTTGAAGCTGTTATAGCTGCAAAGGGCGGGCCAACTCACCTCATACTGAACCCTACGAACTAAGCCTGGGATGCCATTAAAGTTCATGTGCGTGTAATCTGCATCTTTGATGAGCTTTCAGAAAAACGCACTAAAAAATGCGGGACATTATAGAAAGTAATAATGGGCAATAATGGGAAACCAAAAAGGTAGCACACGCATGAAAACTGCAAGTGCAATGAGCTGCATCCACACTGCAGACAAACCACAGCAGGGCAGTGCAAAAGAGGCTCAGTGAGGAACTGCAGATTAGCCTTAAGCACAGAAAGGTGAATAAACAATTTCTACCACCAGAGCTGTTCTCCTTTCAGATGTACTCACCAGAAAAGCTTCATTGAACTCAAAAGAACAAGGAAACTGTCTCTGTAATTGGTGGACACAGTCCAGCCACTGCAAGAAGACTGGGCAGCGCTCATTCAGGTCTTCAGAGTTCTCCCCATGCCCACAGCGGTCAGCAAATTTGTGCCCAAAGTCCAGCCACTCCGTTTCCACCAAAACCTGAAATCCCTATATGAGGAGAAGAAACTCTTAATCTACTCATAATATACAGAAAGCTAAAGAGTCAATTCAAAAAGACTGGCAAATAACTGCTTTTTTCTTTTTTTTTTTTTTTTTTAAACCACTCTACCAAAACTTGCTTCTTAATTCTACCTTGGTTAATTACCATTGATAATGTAAAGTTGTGATGTTAAAATGAAAAGACAAAAGTATACAGAGGTTAAAATGAAAAGGCAGTCAATAAAAGTATACAGATCATCGAACAGGCTTGAAATTAACTACAGAGTGGGGTGGGCTTAGTAGAAAGGAGTCACAGAATCTGAGCTCTATCACTGGCTAACCCGGAAGAGAACAAGCATCAGACTAGGTTTTCTTGCCTCTCAAACTGGACTGCATTGCTTGCAGAAGTTTCAGTTGTGGCTGTTTTAGTGTGCCAGACATAAGATGGTCATTTTGTCAGGCTTCATTTATCTGACTTTCCTAAATGCTGAACCAGTAAGGCTCCAAAGAAAAATTTTAGTGTTTGTGCATTAGCCTTTATGTTATTGCTGTGCATTTAAACATTGTCTTGAACATATCAAAAACAGCTGAAGGAGGCAAGACTGAAGAAATGCTTTCCTTTTTCTCACCAGCAAACTCAAATGACATCATTCTCACAGGATGTTCCTCTTAGACCTTGAAAGTCTATACCCAGGCAAACTCACTTGGCTTGTGCTCAAAAGGCTGCTTTTTAAAGTAGAATTGAAATGGTCATTAAGATACACCAATATGTTCCCCCTTACCAACATGTTAAATCTGGTCTATGCAAGCACTTTCCTAAATGCAATGGGTCTCCAAGTACCCACTACCATGTCCTGCCCAGGGCCTATTACTATTTGGATCAATCATCTTGGTGCTATTGCACCTGCAAAAGTGATGGTTATCTAGGGCCCTGGTGCATGTGGCATGGCCCGCGGGCTATTGGGCTCCAAAAAAAAAAAAAAAAAAAAAAAAAAAAAAAAAAAAAAAAGTGAATCTGCAGCGGGAAGCCAGGTGCTGGAATGTGCGCTGTATTTTAGCATCTGGCACTGAATGAGAAAAACTGTGCTGTGGGTGGAGTTCTCTGTACACAGTACAAGCAAATTCCAGGCCTGGGGAGAGCGTGGCACGGGAGTGTGTGATGGGTGGTTTAACTTTCACTGCCAGTCCACAAAGAGGGTGAGGAGGTGGGTTAAACATCACTGCCACTGGCCACCAATGCAGGGAAGGTTAAACTGCCTTGCCACAGACCAACAATGTAGGGGGTTAATAGTATTGACACTGTGGGCATGGTTATTGCACTCACCGACAAATGCTGGGAGTTATTGTACTCCCAACATCTGCGTGCATCGCGATAAACATAAAAAAAAAAAAAAACACAGCAGGAGCAAAGTTTTGGGCACTGAGGTATGAAAATGCACTGCTGTTGTGCAGCCCTCTGGAGGTGTCGAGGGTCGCACTTGAGGCCTTCTAATTTTCTGGCTGATAATTTAGCGGGCAGTTCAAAGGGTAATACATGTGGCACAGACAGGTTCTGAATGATCTGTAAAAACACAGATGATTTATCACATCCAAAACATACAGTCAAAAGCAGTGGTCATGGGACAGATATGAAGCCTTCATTTGATGAGAGAAGGTGACTGTGCAGCTTCTGCCCATCAGAAGGGCATTTGGAATACACACCTCAATGGTCCTGTAATATGGATCCAGCAGGAGTTTGGAGAGAGCTACAATTTGTGGCGTACGGTCCCATCCATCTGAACAGTGCACTAGAACAGGGCGCTGATCACGATCCAATGCATGAACAACCAGCAGGGATGACTTGAGTAACATGGAAAGGTGCTGCAACCACTTTGTGCCCTCCAGTGCAGATAGCCAACTAAGGATTGTAAGAAATAATAAATAAGGAAATGGGATTTGAACTCATGCAACATGCACATAGCTGAAACCTGGTATTTACTTTTGTCTTTTGTATTCATAAGCGCTTATAAAAAAAACTGCTAGGATAAAATAGTTTCAACCCTAAGATAATCTCAAGGGACCAGACTGTCATACTCACATTTCCAGAGTTTCTAACCCGAGGTTCTGCAGAACCCTCAAGAAGTCCCCAGGGGTTCCATCGTGATCTACCGGTCAATCACAGGCAGTTGACAGGTAGATTGCTTCCAGTTAGCGGACACTCAGATCAAGATATGCTTTCCCCTGCATTCAGAGCAGAGCAGAAAAAGCAACAAGTGTCTGTGCTATTCACCGCTGGCCCCTCCTCCCCTCTTAGTCATCCCATGTGATGTTACATACAAGCACCTGGGATGGACAAGAGAGGAGAATGGGTAGAGAATAGCGCGCCAGAACAGGAAACAGCACCCTCCCTGAGATGCTCTGAAAATGAAAAAAAAACTCATCTCCCAATGTAACGTAGACTGCTTTCATCTATGCAATTCTGACTGCTACCCTCTATGTAATGTTTCCTCCAGCCCCACATGTAATGTTTCCTGCTGCCCTCCATGTAATGTGCCATGTCTCCCATGTATTGAGCCCTGCTGCCCCCTTGTAATGTATCCTCCTTCCCCCATGTAATGTACCCTGCCAACCAGCAATGTAATAAGCCCTGCTGCCAGCCATGTAATGTGCCCTCCTGTCCCCCGTGCTCTGCCCTACTGACCTCCTGTACACCAACACCCTGCTGCCCTCTCGTACACAGCTTAATCCATGTTTGACCCAGAATTGAGCATCTGTGTCAAAAAAAAAAAAAAAAAAAAAAAAAAAAAAAAAAAGCAAGCACACATTTTACATTAGGGCTCGTTCACACTAGGAACTGCATGTGAATTTCTCAGGAATGCAGTGTGGTTCCAGTGTGACTCGCAAGCAGTTCTGTGCAGTGCTTTTGGAAATGTACTACCATAGTATCGGATGATACTTTTGTAACGTGATACAATGTAAGCAAACAGACTGTGTTAGTGACCTGCATTTGGGGTGTCGTTAACTTTGCACTGACACCCGCTGCAGATTGCAAGGGCAGTGTGAAAAAAAACAAAAAAAAAAAAAACCAACAAGTGCTATACCAGCAGCTACATCATGCTCAAAACTTTATATTCAGTGACTGCACAGAGAAGTGTGTTGCACAGTCTGAACGTAATATATTCCAAAACGTTATAACCAATAATGGCATCAGTGATTTTTTGATGATGGTGCAACAGAATACGGTCACCTTAAATATACTGTATGTGTGATCATTACTTATTAAAAAGGTGGTTGTAAAAAGCATAAAGGAGTTTTTTTTTTGCCTTAAACCATTCTCTACATTTTAGGCAAGATACCTTCCAATATTTGTCCCCCAACCACCCCTCCCAACACTTACCTGGCTTCTCTTTCGATCCAGTGCTAGGCTCGTCTGCAGCAGCACTACTTTCTCTCCCTCTTCTTGCAGGACACAGAGGCAACAGCGGGAGCCACTGGCTCCTGCTGCTGTCAATCAAATCCTGCAAGGTGGAAGCAGAAGGGCGTGGCCGAGCCAAGTGAGTCTTAGAGTCTGCCTCGGGAGTGTGCCAGCCATAACACACAGCTTGCTATGGGGGGCACTCAGAAGAGGAGGAAAGCACCTTTACATTATGCCTTTATAATCGATTTAAGCAGCTATGCAAGGTTATTCTGGTTCGTGTGATGGCTCATACCACAATTGACATAAGAGCCATAACTACTGGCAGGCACAAAAACTACATGTTTTCGCCATAAAATCAATTGTTAGCTCTCTGCCCATCTGGAAAAAAAAAAAAAAAAAAAAAAAAAAAAAAAAAGAACCTAACCTGCAGATGTAGATAGCAAGAAACAAAAATTAGCTAGAAAAGGTCAGAATTAAATTATGAACAACACAGTGCATGAAAGAAAACAGAAACATTACTTGGCTGGATCTGGCATCTGTGTGCACAACAGACGTAACGATTGGAAGCTCTTGCGGATGGAGTGAATATTGGCCATCCCCATGAACACAACTTCACAGTTGGGATAATACTCTGCAAAGAAAACAGGTGATTGTATCACACAGTCAAAAGCCCACACAAGTGTACTGTATGACAGAAGATTATTCCTCTGGTAATTCAAACAAAGACAAGTATTAGATTTGGATTCATGGGAAGATGGCATTTCACTAGTATCCTTTATGTAAACCAAAGCTTTAAAAGGAAACCTGTTATGAGAGTAATAGATGGGCTGCAACTACTGACCTTTCCATGTGAAAATGCTACTTGCCTGGCTTCAGTACACCCGTTCACTGAGAACAAATGCCAGGGACAAGAAGATAAATAGCAATTTTTAGATGTATGTTGGCAGTGGCAGCCTCTGCTTTTCTCTCCCTTTAGACTCCCTTAGAGTGGAACTTTACTCATAACAGTTTGGTAATTTTTTTTTTTTTTTTTTAACAAAAAGGAACATACAATCCACATTAATAATTATGCTACAAAAATTACTGCGTGTTGTAAATTGTCTCTAGCATTGCTCCAGTTTATGCTAGCCATTTTGTTGAAGCCCAAATCAGTTACTTCCATACTGAGAACTCTCCCCATCTCAAACCTGACAAAGATGGACTGAAACTCTGCCGGTTCAGCAGGGACTGGACAATTTCAATCCATGTATGCGCAGGCTGGTTATGCAAAAGTCAATCTATTGACCGACCTGTGTGCAACCAGCTAGTCAGGCTTTTCCTAAAAGATCAGTGTTGCTGGCTATAGCCAGCAACACTGATCATTACATTCTGATGTTGGGGAAGGCTCCTTGCTGCCAGTGGGACAATACCACAGTGGGAGGGATTCCCCCCTTCATACTGAATGTGTGCATGGGGAAATAAAGGCATTTTCTCTTTCGAACGAAAAAATGCATAATGTATGGGCTGCCCAAGTTTCAAAAACTAAATATATCACTTTCTGCAATTAAAATGTGTACTTTTCCAGCCTTGATTTTATGTCATGGCTCAGCTAGAGGGGAAGACTGACAAAAGCTGTATAGTGCTGCTGTTGCCCAGGGTGAAAGGAAAGAAAAATCAGGAATATAAGACACTATCCTTGTAGTTTTAACTCTTTTGTGCCTCCTTGTTCTGTCACCTCCCTTACTTGTCTTTTCTTTCCCCCTAATCTGTCCTCTCTAAGCACAGTCTGTCACTTCTGTTGCTCCCTCAAACACTGTTGATCGCTCAGGTCTCAGATCCGCTCTGAACACAGATCGATAACAGTCACTGCTCACTGGTGCTCTGGGCTGTGGAGGGGACAGAAGCAGCTGGCTCAGGCTCTCAGCACACTGCTGTCAGGCATATGGGCTGATCCTGACATTACTGTCGGGATCCTTGCGGAGCCTGGACCAGCTCTGTGACATCAGCCAACAGCGAACTTTAGCCCGCTGTCAGCTGACAGAAATATAGCTAAAAGAGCTTTGGCTATACTTCCTTAATGGCACCGTAAAGTAAGTCCAAACTAGAAATTTTTTCGGCAGTATGAGTACACAAAACTAACCATGTTTACTTGATGAATTAGGCAGAATTAACACCACATGTACACTGTGCTAAAAAAAAAAAGCTACAATGACATTCTGACCCCAAGTTCCAGTTGCTTAAAGCCTAACTCAAGGAATACTATGACTTTAGTTTACCAAATAAACCATTTCTTTTACTAATCAATGTAGCGACTGTCAGCATTGTATAAACTGCATTTAGCATTAGCTACATACAGTATACAGCTGTGTTCTGGCAGATGTAGTGACCTCCCTTCCAGGACTAAAAACAAAATAAAGTTGGGCAAAGGGCTGCAGAGCCATTCACAGGAAGCTAATTTGTTGAGTTAGATCCATCAGCCACCCTCCTCTCATCAACCAGATGAAACCTTTTAAAAAACATTGCTAAAATATAAGCCTTCCTATGAATAGCTTTGCTCAGCCCAACTCAATTTTGTTCCAGGAATGGGATGGGAAGAACACAGGGCTCTGTTCTGTATGTAGCTGATGCTATATACAGTTCATAGAAAACCTGATAGCAACTGCATCAATTAGTAAAGGAAATAGTTAGTTTGGGCAAGTTTGGTCCAAACAAACTAAAAGTCATAGTATTCCAGGAGTTAGGGTTTAAACAATTCACAATAAGCCAGGGCTTTCCAATGTAACCCTACCGCCCACCATACATGCACACAGGTCTTTGGTCTCACCTGGACACTCACAGCCTCCACCCTTAGCACGATTGGCCACAGCAGCAGCATAGGATCGGGCATCAAGAATCAACAGTTTTTGGGGCTGAGCAGAGTTTGCTGTCCGAAGAGGGTGAATTTGACATTGAGGAGTCTGCAAAAAAGAGGAATTGCCAGTTTACATATTTTTATCAAAACAAGGGGCCAAACCAACGCAAAAACCAAAATAAAAACAAGCCCGACATGCAAATATTTCTTACCAAAATCAACCTCAGAAAGCACTTCATTAACGTTGCTACGTGTGCACGAATCATTAGCCATTTTGCCTGGACTGCTTCGGCTGCTGTCAGACGCAGAGGCTCTGGCTATGGATTGAATAAGATGCTCATCATCTGCATTCCTCCACCCCCACCAGCTAACCTCTGGCTGGCCACAGCGAGCGATAACAGAACCATTACTCTGATGCCTGGTGAAGAAGACAGATGTCAAAACAAACATGGCAGACAGACAAACCGAGATCAGGGATATTCTGTTCATTTAGGTTGGTGACAGCTACTATGAACTCTAATTTATGATAGTGCCCAGTCATTAACTGTTGTATAGGGACTTGGAAAGAGCATATTAAGGGCATTAAAGTGTAAACAAGCCAGAAACATTTTTTGTTTTTTCTTCTGTCTTAAGTTTTGTATTAACTGTGGAAGGATTAGAACACCTGTATGGTTTTTACTTCTATCCAGTACTCCATTAAAGAGATTATCCCTCACTTTCACCAGATGGGTCCCTGCTGCATAAGAAAACCTGCAAAAGGGACACAGAACAGAGAAATTAAAAGCTGATGGGGTTCTAGTCTTCCCTTACTTCCTGTCTGGGTTGCTGTTGAAGAGTTCTCACTTCTTTCCTGGTAATCTTTTATACTGCCTCTACAACGAAAAGATAACCTAAGAAAAAAGGGACACTTCTACTTACCGTGGAGTCCATTAAGGAAATTCAGATACATTCATGTTATATTGCTGCTCACAAGCTGATGGGACACTCGCAAACAGAAAAATAGGCCAGCCCCATATAAACCCTCCTTTATATAGCATGTCTCGTGTTTGTGGCAAGCAGTAGTAAGAGCCTGAACAGGAACGTGGAAGGGGCAGCACCTGTGTCTCTCAACAGGCTTCAATTACAGTTCTTGTACTTGCCGTAAATCCTTAGAGTGACACAGGAATATGGATAAAGTTGAAACTTCTAAAAAGCAGTCCAAATGAGAGGCTGGAAACATAGCAACAACTAATAAGCCTACCAAGGAGCACTGGGGAGTGTCTACAGTCCAGGAGCCAACTAAAGTATCTGCGTCCAACTCAAAGGATGACGAATGAAAGGGGAACCTGCCAATATGACCAAGGGGAGTAAACAAAAGAAATCTCAGCAGAACTGCTAAAAAAACATTCACCTGATTAGGGCCCCACCTGCTGACAATCCACAGAAGAACAGGGCCCTCCAGTAATGTTTTCTGCCCACCATGTAGGATATGAGGTGCACCTAGGTACTCCAAACTCTCCACTCAGTGCAGATATTACTGGTTCAGGAGAGCCAGCTTCCAAGGCATTGCCTTCATAGGAGACGGTGCAAGCAAGGCTATAACTCCACATTGTCCAGTGCAGGAACCAGGCTACTTTCCTTGTCACAGGGAGGTACCCCACCATTGTTATGGTGTTCAAAGTCTAAATTAGAAAACTTTGTCAAGGCAGAATCCCCTGACGTGGGGGGAGCTAACCATTCTGAACAATCAGATAATTCATAAAACCCTTGATCACCATAAGAGCCTTTAAGGACACAGGGCTGGATCTGTGCAGCAAGATTGCATTTATTTTAAATCACTCGCACAGGTATTATTCTAATGAAAATGGACAATGCTCTGTTTCCTCTGCTCACCACCTTTTGACAATACGAATATAATATTAAACTTTATTTTATTTAGCGCCTTTAAAAAGGTAGCTTCTCAAAGCACTTTACAAAGAAAACACAAAGAAATACACAGTATAAAACAAAAAAGGGGAAAAAGAGACAAGAAAGCTCGTCTAAAGAAAAAATGTTTTCAGATTTAATTTGAGTGAGTTTAGAAATTACCTCTCTGATGTTCCTTGGAAGTGAATTCCAGAGTTTTGGAGCATAAGGCTTTGTCTCCCATCAAGTGTAGGAGAGTAGGGGGGAATACACAGAAGACCAGAATATGAGGAGCGGAGGTCATGAAGGGGGGGGGGGGGGGTGAGTAAGTAGATAAAATTTCAAGCAGATGACCAGAGCTGTTCATTCCATGTATTAGTTTTTATAGACTTGACAGGTTGAGTATCTAAAATGACAATGCTGCAGTTGTCACAACAGTTATTTCCATGAATTGCCCTCTAAACTCCTCAACACACCTATTAATTGCCACAGAAGTTCAAATATATTTTGTGAGGTAGTTACATTGTAAGTGTAAGCCTGTGGAAGTTACCAAAACTTACATAAGAGTAGAATTACACCATAGGTGCCAAATTGTTTGGAATTTTAGGGAGACTGTTCCCATTCCCCTATATAAAACATTTTTATAAGGGATCATCCAATTCACCATTTTTCACACTGGGCTACAGTAGGGGAGGATGGCCTCATCCAGCTATTACTTTGAGAATCAATCAAAAAGTTCCTCGCAAGACTATTCTAGTATGGTGTGACCAATATTTTTCATCTAGTACACAAAAAAAAAAAAAAACAAAAGCCAGGTGTACAGGGAAGAGGCAGTTTCAGTAAGGTGGTGAGAGCACAGTCATTTTTGGTGGCCAAAAGTCAGATTTAACCTGGCAACCACAAATTAGGTGCATGAAATCTGCTTGAAGTGTATTACATTGTATAGAGTTGGAGGTGGCCTTATGCATCATTTTGTGCAGTCCAACAGTTGATAGTATGTTTGGTGTTTATTACACAATTGAATTTATTACGACTTGTGAAACCAACATTTGAGAGGAGCATATGTCATCTTATTCCTCTTTAGACACTCTGGTTAGTAGGGTCTGCTATTTAGTCCTAAAAGTGAGTTGAGTAGTAAGTGAGAACAGAGTGGATGCTAACCTTTGGGGGCGGTGTGGCTTTTCCACTTCTATACAGAAATAAGTTTATCCTGGTCCCTGAATCCTGTCTCCAAGGCACAAGACTATGCATCTCCATGGTGTGGCTGTAGGACTCTACGGGGGTAAACGGTCTCCTAAAATTCCACAAAATTAGTACATCATTCTATCCCTGTCAATGTCTGCAGAAATTACAATACCACAAGATTTCCATAACATAGGGTTGTCCCATAAAGCTGCGTTTATCTGAGATGTCCTGAAATGAAGTGAGGCATTTAACCTCAATCCACACCGATTTGGCCAATTTCAGTATTAGTAGGTGGTGTTTGCTGTGGAACTTAGGTGCTTCCAGGAATTGAAATGGTTTGTAAGTTTCCCATAATTGTAAGCACATTTGGCACGTGTTCCTGGGACCAAAGAAGGACTTATGTAACTAGGCATTATAGCTGTCCTGCCAAGTAGTATAAAAATGTATATGCCAGGCCTGTACAGGCCTGACTGCCTCTTATAGTGTAGCATATAGAGCAAATCTATTCATTGTTTTTTCCTATGGTTAATACCTCAGAAGTGTTTCATGTATCAGTTGGTAATGGCAAGGGCCCGTAATGCTATAGCAAAGAGAAGGGAAAACGGGGTGACTCTGATGGCAGCAGAAGTCTATTAAAAAAAAAATAAAAAAAAAAAATTGCAGCAGGGCTATGGTTTACCACGGTGTAGCATCCCCCCTTAACACTCTGTAAAAAACATCTGGAAACTGAGGAGACCAGTTGCTGGAGTTCTGGGAGAGAACGGTTGTTCCATTGTTGCCTGATATAGGAATCTTACGGTCCTGGGTCTTTTTTGTCATATTTTTCGTTTGAAGATGTGCCATGCTGTTCTAGATGCAGATTAGTACTGTCCTGCTGAAATATGCAAGGCCTTTCCTGAAAAGGACTTCTTCTAGATGGAAGCATATGTGGCAGTTAAACCTGGATTTATCTTTCAGCATTGATTATGCCTTTCCAGATGTGCGTGCTGCCCATTCCATTGCACACCAACGCACTCAAACAACCAGAGATGCAAGCTCTGATAAAGCCAAAAGGCTTTCTCCTCTTTAGTATGGAGGATGCAGCGCCCATGGTTTCCAATAAAAAGTCAAAATTCGATTAGTCTGACCATAGATCAGGACAGTTTTCGACATTGCAAAATACCAATTTAAATGAGCTTTGGCACAGAGAAGGCGGTGGGGTTTCTGGATCAAGTTCAGATTGGCTTCCTTGCATGATAGAGCTTTAACTTGCATTTTTGGATGGTACGGTGAACGGTGTTGACAGACTGATTTTTTTGTAAGTATTACTAAGCCTATGCAGTGATGTCCATCACAGAATCATGCCCGTTTTTAATGCAGTGCTGTCTGAGGGCCCAAAGATCATAGGCAGCCAATATAGTGTTTCAGCCTTGTCCCTCGTGCACAGAGATTTCTCCAGAGATTTTCAGAATCTTTTGATCTTATATACTGTAGATAATGATATAAAGTCTTTGAGTAACATTATTCTGAAATTGTTTGACAATGTAAAATTGCAATTTTTAGACACAGCTTTTGGTGAACCCCTGCCCATCTTTACTTCTGCGACACTGACTCTTTAAGATACACTTTTTATAGCCAATCATGTTACTTACCTGTTACCAATTAACCTAATTAGTAGCAAAATGTTCTTCCAGCCCTTGTTAGTACCACTGGATTTGCCATCTTTTTGTTGCCCTGTCCCAACTTTTTTTTTTTTTTGAGACTAGCTGCTGCCATCAATTTCAAAAATTACTTTTTTTTCCCCCCTTCCTAAAATGGTACATATTCTCAGTTTAAACATTTGATATGTTTTCTATTGTAAATATATGGGTTTATGAGATGTGTAAAATCTGCATAAAAACAGAATGCAACAATTTGCAAAGCATCTCAGCTTATTGTGGAATTGGGTTTGTACGTCTTTTATAGTCTTCTAAAGTCAGTTTATCAGGGCTTGGTGCTTTACCAGTGGGCACTGAGACTCCCAGTTTTATAGCATTTTCTGTAAGTTTTTTTAAATCTGTTTAAACTGGCTGATTTCAAAGAGATTCTATCTGCCTGTAGAATCCTTAAAAGCCAAGAACTCCTATCTAGTGGTTCTCCTATTAACATGGACTTGCAGTGGGAATAGACTGTCACATGAAGAATTCCCTCTTAAAAAGGGGAGGCTCAATACGCCTCAGGGTGCATCCAGTTCACAGAGTAATACATCAAACAGCAAGTGTAATGGAAGGGTCTTTGAAGCTATAGGAGCTCTAAAAAAAAAAAAACCCAAGGCTGGATATAGGAGGCAGGTCCTCCAAATGCAGGGTAGTACACAATCTATAAGGTCTGAAATAAACTCTTACAATTCTGAGGTGATTGCATGAGACTGTGGTGCCTCAAAAACACCTAGAAGATAAACTGTTGGGACTCAGGATCTCCTGATGTTCCTAGCAGCAGAGCTGCCTCCGCTGTGTCTACATGCTGACACGTTGCTATTGTGTAGCAGTATTGCAACTGGGTCCAAGGTGCTAGGCAAGGCATCAGGTACTCACAAACCCAGGTAGCTGCTGCTGAGGGTTGGGTGGATAGAGTTGACAAGGCCACTGTAGGAAGGCGGTGGGAATGGACCAGAGACTGGAGTAGCATGTGGTGCCTAGAAAGCGCATGTAACATACAGCACTCAGTCCCTCAACATTAATCCTTACGCGGTGAAACCAGCAGTGGTAGGAAGGCACACAAACTGTGCAAGTAATGAGAAAGTCCCAATGTTTCAGCCCGAACGGCTTTATTCACAAAACAGGTCGTCAGAGACCAGGTTAAGCACAGAGTCCTTATTCCTGTGTCACTCAATGGACAGGAAAGAAAGGATGATTAGATTGTTGGGCTGCCTCAACCTTTTGATCAAGTCGGCCCAAACAAATTAAAGTGAAGTGTAAGCCTTGGGTTCTGTTGCGTTACATTATTCAAAGGGATATGCAAACATGTTGTGTATAGATTAAAAGTATAACATCTACCAGATGCAAAAAGAGCTCATACCATAATGTGCAAGTTTGAACAGCCTACTGGCAAAAATGCCTAGTCTGTTCTCCTCCAACAATGACACTTGATGTAGCCACTCCATTCCCCACCATCTTCTCTGCCGCTTCCACCCAGGTCTAGTGTCCTGCGCATGTGTGCTGGAAATACATCATTCCAGCACCAGGACTCCATTCTGAGCATTGTACACATGCAAGGAGTGGGTCATGTGTGTAAATTGGCCAGCAAGCCTGTTTCGACAAGCGTCAATCCAACGATCAAGCTCCACAGACAGTGTAAGCAAAGAAAAAAAAAAATGCTAATAGAATAAGGAAAACCTCCTCGCAATTTTTTTTTTTTAGATTTTGATTTTCAAATTTTTAAACTTTACTATTACTACAAGGGAGCTGATGTGCCCCTATGACAGTGTAGATTAGTGGAGATAGGTCTAGCCAATTTACACCGGGAAAGCACAGACTCAGTTTGCACCTTCCCAGACCAAAAAAAAAAAAAAAATCTGAATCTCTAAACCCAAATATGCACAGAAGTAAAAACAAAGACTATTTAAAACACAGGTTGCAGGAAAGAAGAAAAAAAAAAAAAAAAAAAAAAAAAAATTAGCATGATTCCCCCATCAACAAGACAGTGGGGAGCCTTCCCAGCTGGAAGAACACTGATTATTGCTAGTGGCTATAGCCTCCGGCTGTGAACTCATGTACAAGAAAACCCGACATGCTGGTTGTACCAAAGTTGATCGATGGATCGACTTGGGTACAACCAACCTGCCTAACGAAGGATCGAACATTTACAACACTGATTGGTGTTTTGTTTTTAGCCCCAAATTAATTTCAACAATACTTAAATAATCCCTGGCATAGGAGAGTTTAACAAAGATCAAGAAAAGTAAGCTCACTATAGATGGATTCCTTCACCCACACAAGCAAGGTGGATACAGCAATCCTCCCCACTGTATTCTGACAGCGGGACTCTCCACTGTTAGAATACACTGATCAGCAAACCAACACGCCTGTTCGGCAAAGGTCAATCCAACAATCAACTTCTATCGAGCAGGCAGTGTCACGTTGATTGAAAGTTAACCAATTCCTGCGGCGCTGGTGGAATTTCGATCCATCTATGGTCAGCTTAACTCTCTTTAATATCTTAGCCACGTGAAAATCAAACATTTACTGAACCTCTTAATAATGTTAAGGCTAGCCATAGATCTGAGATCAATCCTGAAGACAGATAAACAGGTGAGTTACCCATTTTCTATTTATTGGGAGATTGAGAATTTACAGCTTACGACAGGTATTTTTTTTACTTTTTAATTCGCTACAATCCTGCTCGATCAACAACAGTGCCGAGGGGCTTAATAAAGTAGAATTGATTGATAAGCTACATATTGCTCTCCATTCTAATGATGACTAGAAGCGAGGGGGTGAACATTTACAACACTGAGTGGGTGTTTGTTTGGTTTTTTTGGCCCAGTTTAACTTCAACAATACTTAAAACTCTCTTGTGCCATCTATGGCTTGCCTAATTGATCAGCTCCACTGAATTCCTAGCAAATACTACATATGGCCATCCACAAGTTCTATTAAACATTCTTTATTATACTCTGACAAAAAAAAAAAAAAAAAAAAAATTAAAAGAGGCAAGATCAAAAAGGTGAGGTTTCCATGGAACAAAACCCACAAAAAGATACCACAGAACAGGATATGGTAAGGAAAACGCCTTAAATATTAAGTTAATTCTTTAACTTTGCCACCAAGTTATTGCGTAGTTTTGGGTGCACTGAGTGTTCATAGATACACTTTAGCTTTACCTGTACACCACTGCAGGAATGCGTTTCCAAGAGCGAAAGCTAGCAACACTCTCCAATTCTTTGTCTGTTATACCTGCTGGGACTATCAGCTCTTGTGGATAGCTTGCACATAATCTATAAGAAAAAGGTTAAATGGAGAATGAGAAAAAAAATTCATGGACATATTTAGATATATCATTAAAAAGAACAAACCCTCTGTTTGATTCATAAGTAAACGTCATCGTGTTTACATGAATCAGTGTTATTTACTGGTTTAGGTCATGAATCTTAAAACAGATCTAAAGTCAAAACTTTCTATTAAATTTTGATATAGTAGGGAAGGGTTACAAGCACCATCAATTCTTTGCCATCTTTAGTCATTAGGGCTATTTCAACATGAAGTGACAGGATATACTTCCAATGTGAAGGCTATCCCCTCTTAGACAAGTGTCATAAGAGCAAGAATCCCCAATAAAAAAATTTCCCCTCTATTCCTATTCTGGTGGCAACCTAAAATAAGAATTTTGACTTGCCTGTAAATTGCATATCTAGGAGTACAGTACTGGACACAGGCAAAGTGTTCAAAGTCAAGTCACTGGGTCATGGGCTCACACCTTCCGGTGATTGGACACTGGCAAAGCAGTGTGAACTCCAGGGTGCCTCCCCTATAACCCTGCCCTATTCAATGAGTCGTCATTTTGTAGGAAGTAATGAAGATAAACCAAGGAACAAAAAAGGGACGTTGGCCTGTGCCCTGTACTGTAATCAAGACATGTAATTTAAAAAGACAAAATTCCTTTTATTTCAATTGTACAGTAATTGTACAGGACACATAGTATTCATAGACCAAGGGATGCCCCCAAGCAATGCACAAGAGTGATCAATAGGTAAAACAGGACTGTGCCAACAAAACTGCTTGGCAAGACTAACTGCTAACCAGCCAATCACATGAAAGCAACTCAATGCATTTAGGCACCTAGACATGCTAAAGACAACTGTCTGAATTTCAAACAGAATCAGAATGGGGAAGAAAGGGGATTTAAGTGACTTTGAATGTGGCATGGTTGTTGGTGCAGATGGGCTGCTCTGCATATTTAAAAAAACTGATTATCTGCTGGGAGTTTCACACACAGCCATCTCTAGGGTTTACAGAGAATGGTCCACAAAAGATAAAATATCCAGTGAGCGGCAGCTGTGTGGGTGAAAATACCTTGTTGATGTCATAGGACATGTCTCACCGGTGTGAGATGATAGAAAGGCAACAACAGTTACTAAATATGTCAATATGGACCAAAATCTCTGAGGAATGTTTCCAACCCCTTGTTGAATCTATGCCACGAAGAATGAAGGCAGTTCTAAAGGCAAAAAGGGGTCCAACCTGGTACTAGCAAGGCATACCTAATAAAGTGGCCAGTGAAAGTATATGCAGGAATCCTCTAACAGGGCCCTAAGGGAAGGATGCATAGAGAGTCCATCTTTATATACTAAAAAATTTGATTTTAGACTGATAGGATTATGTCTTAATTGAGGTGACAGTAACCCGAGGAGAGGATAGCATATGGGGGCAAGACAACTTGTCCTTTTAGAAGGATGAGGAGGGATTCTCCACAAAAGAGGACCACTGGTAATGCAAGGCCAGGACATGAATGTTCAGAGGGTCTCAAATTCAACAATGCAATTAGAAGAAGTCAGGGGGAAGGAACATAATTCTTGAACCCCATGTGATAGCTGAGATAATAGGTCTTCCAAATTTTCACTCCTCAAATTGAGAGCAAGAATAGTTGGGCAGTATTTATCCGTCAAAGAGAAGATCAGACTTGGTTTTGGACAGGATGACTAACTTATGGTACCCCCTTAGGAGAGTGGCACAAGCCACAGCTGTGGCAATGCCTGATAGTATCCTAACTGCCTGATCTTGTAGGGTCTTCCTTATTGCTCTGCAGGATGTTGATGGGAAGCAAGGCATGGTGACTAAGTTTCCTGAAGTGTGAAGTCTAACACTGCTCCTAGCTATAAGAGCTGTGATTATTTGCGATCATCTACCAGTAGTATGGAAGGAACAACTTTGCCATGTCGTGACGTGGGTTGAAAACCCACAAAAGTTAGAAGTTCCTTGCATGGCTGGACAGGAAATGGGCATATCAGAACACTAAATGTTCTTTCTCAAAAAATGTTTTATATGCCTGGAATGAAATTGAGTAATTTAGGACAGCTACAAACAAGGCTACCCTGATGTCCAGAACACCCCGGAGGAATCACTCCAAGGGGATCTTTAAAGCGATTGGACGGGTAAAAGAAAAAAAAAAAAACAAAAAAAAAAGAAAACAAAAAAAAAAAAACACCCCACACACCCTCTTCAAAAGCTGCTCCCCCCCCCCCCCCAAAAAAAACATTTAACGAATCTTGATTTCGATCCAGCACTATGCCCATCTGCAGCAGCTCTTCTTCCCTCCCTCTCTTCTCAAAGGAAACTCCATTGCCATCGGCTTCTGCTGCTGTCAGTCAAAAACCAACAAAGCAAAAGAAGAAAAAAAAAAAACCCGTCTCATGATGCCCATGTTGTGGATTCCTCCACTGCAAACCTGATAGAGCAAGACCCAGCCAGATCCTGCAGATATATAGCCCTTTAAGAAGTCATTCATCTTAATGTCCCACAATAGGGATGCCACAAAAAAGGCACTAGACATACACAAGGGTTCACACTGAGAAATACAAGGTGACCACAGGCAACAGTGAGGATTTAAAAAATCCTGATAGGGTAGAGGAAAGCCAAGGTTGGACCCAGGTGAACAGGTAGTCTCTCTAGAGAAGGAGAGGAATAAGGGTGAGAAGACTCCAAGCAGTCAGGGAAAGGTCCACTAATCTACCCTGTGCAACTGTACAGAAGAGGGCAAGCTGCTGAAGAGAGTGCCAGAGGCACAGGGGGCTTAGAGCACCTAAATGTACAAAAGCATTGCAAGAGTGCAGAGCAAGCAAGACTCTACCCAGCATATGACAGCACCCAATTCCTCAATATTGGCATATTCCACTGTAAAACTGGTGGTAAAACAGACATTCAGAAGGCACCAAGTAGTTTCAATGAGGCAGCTCCTGCTGCTCAGACTGACTGACCTACTCACAGAGTCTTCAGACACAAGGCAAGTGCTGTGGCAATGCCAATGGCTCTAGACCTGGAAAGCACTTCCTGGCTAACTTGTTACCAAAATGGGGCCTGGAATGCATCCAAGCTAAAGCTAGTCATTTCTAGGCTGGCCCTGCAACGTCCAGTCCAGCAGGGACCTAATGCAGCACTCCAAAACTAGACTGAGGAAAAACTGGTCCAGATAGCTAACATACAGAGACTACTAAGCTCAAGCAGTGGTGTAGTACAGAATTCCGAATAAAGAGCAAAAAAAATGATAGCTAGCAAAAAAATGGTTACACTTTTCTCAGCAAACCTGAAGAAAGGATATCAAGTCTCCTAGGACAACAGCAACTAAAGAAGTCATGCTGGGTAAATAATGGGCTATCTGGGCCTATAGATTTTTTTTTTTTTTGTTGGCCACTGCCTAATCCTCCTGTAGGCTGCAGCATAACCTAATATATGACTTCCTGTGGCCTCCTGTGTCACTAAATGAATAATAATTTTTAAATACCATAAAGTTTTGGTTTTTTTATTGTGCGCAAGGAGGCTGTGGTATAGTTCGCTAGAAGGGCAATAAAACTAAAAATTATCACCTGAAGAAGCTACTGAAAGATCCTATGTATATGAAAGATACCTGTTGATCTGCCAGAAATCCAATGTGTTCTAACTTTGGTGTCCGTTTGTGAACCAGAGGTAATAGATCGCTGCTCAGTTCTCCGGCATTCTCGGAGAACAAAGTTCTCCTGTGAATGCAGTTTATGAAGCAGTTCTCCGAACGAAGGGAGAACGGCTTCCAAACGCTGGAGAACGGTCTACAAACTCTGAAAAACGGCTCATTTTACTATAATCTCTCCAGATTATAGTAAAAGACCAGTTTACTAAGCAGAGGTAAATTATCTCTGCTTAGTTTTCGGTCCCTCTGATTCTCCAGCTCTGGGCTGGAGAATCTGGACGGAGAACACAGATCTCCAGAGAAGGGCTGACAGGATCTCCTAAGTGTTTTAAACTGTGAATGACCAGAGAATAGCTGAGATCTGTTGAATCGCAGCTATTCTCTGTGTCATAAAAGGACACCTTTATGTTTGAACTGATGACACAATGCCCTTTTTTTGCACTAAAACAACAACCAGTGCGGTCTGCCTTTCCTGCCAGAGTACAGTACTGTACCCAACCACAATTTCTACTATACATAATGGCACCTCTATGCAGTGGAAGAACGCCTTACCTTATATCCACTACTGCATTTGTGAAACCCTTGTGTTTGAAGAGTAGGTACACTTGCACTTCATTGGCTCCAATACCCCCTACTAACGCGCCTGACAAACACCAAACTCACTTGTCCCTGGGTCTGCAGAGAGCTTCACTACAAAGCCTGCTTAGCCCAGCCTCTACTAGAAAATCCTCACTGTTGGTTCCTGCTTCTCCGATGCATGCATGTCCCAATTTTCATTCGTGCCAATGAAACGCTCGCACTCTGTTGGGAATAGGGAGCATGACCCAAAACAATGGATTTTTAAGAAGATGCTGTTCAGTAAAAAGCCCACACAGTGGAGAGCTCAGTGAAGCAGGGACAGGCGAGTATAGTTACACAGTCTTTATGGAAAAGAGGGCCTGGAGATAAGTCCCTTCTAGGGGTAGCAACAGAGAATAGATGGCATCAAGTTGTGCATGGATAATCCACTGAAAAACAATCATTTGTAAATCTTTGCACAAACAGGAATGGTCCAATGTAAAAATGTGATTCTGCTAAGCAAGTCAAAGGAAAGTCAAATAGAAAGAATAAAAAGAAAAGTGTCTCTCTGCATAAAATGAACATGCAAGTGCAGAGGAGGTCTAGACAGAAATTAATGCTGAATGGTTAATAAAGAAAGTGCCTCCCTCTTGATCTGCTGTGCTTGCACGGCCTGTCTTGTCAGATTGCAATGCCTGTCAGGGGGTAACCAATGTCACCACAACCCACTTAGAAAGAGTACTTAGCAGTATGGCAACAGTAAAGTAACCCATTGCCCTAAAAGTACCAAAATCAGGTAGGAGATAAGTGGCATCATGCAAGAGGTCTCTCAGTTTGAGTGACCTGCCTCATACGGGATGGAAATAAAAAAATATATGCTACCCAATTAAAGTAATGGAGTATCTGTTTAAATGCGGTTTGCAAATATGGAAGGGAGCAAAAAAAAACACACACACACACACACACACACACACACACACACACACACACACACAAATTCTTCTTTTAGCCAAAGTTCTTTTCCAACTAAAGTTAACATAAGTGAATGTAAAAAACACTCCCCTGACAAACTATGAGACAAAACTAGCTCAGTTATACAAAAAGGTGTAGTGGACCAGCACCCATCCAGTTTTTTTTCCCTATGGCTAAGCAATTGTTTTGACCCCAAATACATTTTTATCCAAATTTTTATGGGTCATTCTAGAGTTGTGTATGCCTATCTCTACCAAATAACTAAACCAAGCAAAGCCTATGCAGTCAGATTATATTGGTGGAATGTAAAGTCCTGCAAAGAGTACAAAAAAAGAAAAAAACGGTTTTTAGAGTAAATTCTGCTAGTTAAGTATTAAACTTTCCAGGCTGATGGATGTACCTGAATTTCTCATTGATATTGGAAATTCTCCAAGCATTATCCATGTCAAAGCCCATCCGTTCCACTTCATTCTTAAAGCGCGAGATCACGTGGTCACCTGCATGAATAAAATTTACAAAGAAAATATATATTTAATCTTTATCTCTTTCCACTATAAGGACCAACACAGCTGTACCAAACCAAATACTGAACATTCAAAAGCTCTATTTTCATTACTAAAAACAAAAAATTGTAGTTACTGTCCTCCAAACCAGTGTTCCACCTTCTAAATGCAACTATTTTTTCCAGCCAACATGTATTATGTCCAATTTTTTTTTTTTTTTTTTTTTACATCAGGCTATCAGGATTTGGAACCAGCCTTGAAGGATATCCAAACCCAAAAACAAAAAAATTTCATATTGCACCTTACTAGACTGATGACTGCATTAGTTTTTAATTTTGCAGGACATTTTCAGCAAGTTCAGAAGATACCTGCTGATCTTACCAGAAAATCTAATTTCCTTGTATCTTCCGGTGAACTGAACTCAAAATTACAAACAATGTAATCCTCCTTCTAAGACATCTTCTGCAAACTACTAGCTCCTTCAGTCAATAAAGATAAAGAAGAGGGTTTGTAGTTAAAGTCAGAAGAGCAGCCTAGTGTGAAAATCATGGCTCCCTCCATAGATACAGTACAGTTAGTGAGCATAGCTGACCTAGGACAGGATGGAGTTTATTACTCAAAAGGTAAAAGATAAAATTTAAAAAAAATGCTTTTCTCTTTTTATTTTGATTTTAAAAACTACTGTAGCGACCACATCTAAAGATTGATAAGCTGAAATATATTAAAAGTATTACTAAAGCTTTTTTCCCCCATTTTGGTTAATTAAAATACCTGTCAGGTTTTTATTGCTGCCTCTGTCCCTGTTAGGGACACTGACCCTCTCTTTTTGCCTGTTTACCATTACAATGGAAAGGTGAAAGTCAGTCTTTGGAAGATTTCCCCTCTTACTGTTCTGGGGACAACCCATGGGGACACTAGTTCTAGTGACCTAGGGAGCCCCCAATAGATTCCCTGAATTTGCAGGGATTTTCTCACTTCTTGTTTTGGCTATGGGAAAGTAACTGAAGGGAAATCTCACCAATGGGCCAGAGATGGCAAACTAAAAATTTTAGAGGTTATAACCCTCCCTTCCTTTATCCAAAATGGGGAAAAAAAACCCAAAAAAAAAACCAAACACATTTTATAGTTCTACTTTAATGTTTGAGTTAGGTATTACTTAAAGGACAACTACACCTTAAAATGTCCGATACACCACAGCAAAATGTCAATAACAACCACATCTCAAATGCGCAGAAAGCGATATTTATGCTGCCTGACTTGCAGGAACAGAATTTTTGCCAAGATGAATGAGCTGTCATTTAAGATGGATGCTGACAGCAATTTATGACATAAGACACCAACAACTGCCGGAAATGCTTGTTACAACTGTGAATAATAGGAGAAACAACCAAACAATATAAAATTGCTTTCAACATTATGTCTATGGCTAGCTTATCTCTATGGCACCCCAACAGCCTTAGAAATCCAGCAAAGGTACCTTGCTTGGCCATGGACAAGGATTTCACATGATGCACTTACAGAGCTAAAAGATAGATATGACCATTACTCGATGGCTGAGACCAGAGGATGTACAAGGTTTTTAATGCTACAGCGCTGTGGTAGTCCATTGATTCTTCTGGTCAGTGTTAAACTGCCTGCCCATAAAATGTATGTGCTGACAGCTCACATTGAAAGTCTTCAGGAGTCCTGCATGGTACCAGTCATCTGCTGATTGCTAGTGCAGGCTCAAAAAAAAAAAAAAAAAAAAAAAAAAAACCTATAAAAAATTTTACAATAAAATGTGCATTTATTTTTATTAAAAAGCTAACATTCTTTAAACACATCATGAACAAGTAAAAAGAGTGCATCCCTTAGGCATAAGCTTTTCATTGCTTTATAGCGGTGATAACTCATACACCTGACAGTACACAATAGCCAAAATTAAGACCCAAAAACATTCCATAAAATAAAAATTAAAACAAAAAACTGAATATTAAAGAGTGAATACTCGTGAGCTACTAAGGTGGTATTGACAAAAAACTTACTACTAAAAATATTAATAAAGTGGTGCATCAAGACTAAAATTGGTTAGAAATTTAAATCTTAAAAAATATTATGCCCAAAATCCCATCGTTAAGAATTATTCCAATGCACAGGAAAATACATTTCATACAAACCTTAGGAACAAATCTGTTTTTAACCCCAAGAGAAGTGATCAATTTTACTAATCTTTTGAAAATATATATATTTATGATCTGAAAAATTTACAAATTAAAACATATAAAGAAGATAAGGTTTTACAAAAAGGCATCAGGAGTTTGGAGAAAAGGAAAAATTTAGTAATTAGACCCGCAGATGTAAGAACAGCGTATCTTAAAGATATGAAACATATAATACAGTTGACCCATAGCTTGAGTGTAAATAAAAATACATTACTCAGTACAGCGGATGTTTCATCGCTATACACGAATATCAGCCATGAAGGTGCAATAGAGGCAGCTCAATGGGCTCTAAATAAATATTCTGTTATTCCTAAAAAGCACCAAAGGTTTATTATTATTATTATTGTTGTTTAAAATTTTGTTTGTATCACAATTATTTTTGGTATGGTAATGAGTATTTTTTTACAAATTAGAGGTGTTGCCATGGGTGCTAAACTCGCCCCAATATTGCTAACCTGTACATGTCAAAGTGGGAAGAAGAATTTGTTTACACTAATCATAGAAAAGAAATACAGATATATAGTAAGCATATGGACGATATCATTATATGGGAGGGTAATAAGGAAGGCCTAGAACAGTTTTTTGAATATTTAAATAGAAGTGAGAATGATCTCTCTGAGTTGGAATATAAGTGAGGCATCTATTAATTTCTTTAAGTAAACAGACCGTAATGCATATATACCAACCACAAGCTGTCATTACCAACCATGAATTAATAATATACCAAAGGGTCAATTTATAAGATTAAAAAAAAAAAAAAAAAAAAAAAACAATTGTACTAAAAAGATATAGATTATAGGGCACAAAGCAAAATATTAAAAAACAGATTCATAGTTAAAGGATATGATCCAAATAGAATTGAAAGAGAAGAATACTATGAGATGTATGGATAGAAACTTGATGTGGACTAATAAACCTAAAATAGCCACAGTAAACATTGAAGTACCAGTAGTTTTGAATTACAATAAACAATACAGAGCGGTACAACATATCTCCAAACACTGGAAGGTGCTCAAATTAGATAAAAATTTGAAAGATATTATACCTGATAAACCAAAGTATATATATATATATATATATATATATATATATATATATATATATATATATATATATATATATATATATATATATATATATATATATATATAGGAAATAGTCTAATATTTTAGACCAACCTGTCTCTCAAATTATAGAACCACCAAAACCCTTAAGTAATGAGTTTTTTACAGGGCACAGGTTTTTACTCATGTGGGCAATGTTACAGCTGCAGTAGGGTACGTGGTAACCCTAGACGAAGACACATTTTTTTAACACCCACAATAATGAAGAATATAAAATTAAACAATTCATTTCGTGTGATACAAAAAGGAGTGGTTTATGCCTTAAAATGCCCTTGTAACCTTGTATACATAGGGAGAACTAAAAGAGCTTTGAAAGAGAAAATCAAAGAACATGTGTATAACATAAATAGGAGGGTATAAATATCATCATGTTTCGGTGCATTTTCGCCAATTTCACAATAAGGTTGCTTCATGCTTACAGTTTTGGGGAATAGTGAAACATAATAGGCATTGGAGAGGAGATCATTTGGTTAGAGAGAGATCAGTAAAAAAAAAAGAATCGAGGTGGACACACGAAATGAGATGCCTGGCACCTTATAGTCTAAATAAGGAGTTTAATTTATCCTGTTTTTTTAGTAATTATTAAGGGCATTTGATATAAAATTAAATTATCATATATGATCTTAATTGAGGTTTTAAATTACTCAGTAACACTTCTAGTCATCACCTTATATAGAGCAAAGACTTTAGGTATGATTCCCATTTTTTTAATTTTTAAAAAAATATATACATTTTTTATTTAATAAAATATTTTTAAACATTTTAAATATTAATTTTAAATACAACTTATTACACTAAGGTTAGTATGAAATAAATACATATAATAAGAGGGCATATATTTAGTGATTAATTTATTGATGTTTACTAGATGGGATTAATAACTTATTATTAAGCCAGTGTTTAGTACATTTCAATCATGATTAGTTTTACTTTTAATTTATTATTTAATATTTTAAATCTATTTTAAATTCCTATAATAACTAATAAAATGTGTTTAATGTAGTCAATTTAGTATGTAATATTGTTGTATAAGTGTTTAATCAGGTATGTTGAATATGTGTGCAATAATTATGACAGCAAATACATACATCTACAGTCAGGTCCATAAATATTGGGACATCGACACAATTCTAGCATTTCTGGCTCTATACACCACCACAATGGATTTGAAATGAAACGAACAAGATGTGCTTTAACTGCAGACTGTCAGCTTTAATTCGAGGGTATTTACATCCAAATCAGGTGAACGGTGTAGAAATTACAACAGTTTGCATATATGCCTCCCACTTCTTAAGGGACCAAAAGTAATGGGACAAATGGCTTCTCAGCTGTTCCATGGCCAGGAGTGTGTTATTCCCTCATTATCCCAATTACAATGAGCACATAAAAGGTCCAGAGTTCATTTCAAGTGTGCTATTTGCATTTGGAATCTGTTGCTGTCAACTCTCAAGATGAGATCCAAAGAGTTGTCACTATCAGTGAAGCAAGCCATCATTAGGCTGAAAAAACAAAACAAACCCATTAGAGAGATAGCAAAAAACATTAGGCGTGGCCAAAACAACTGTTTGGAACATTCTTAAAAAGAAGGAATGCATTGGTGAGCTCAGCAACACCAAAAGACCCGGAAGACCACGGAAAACAACTGTGGTGGATGACCGAAGAATTCTTTCCCTGGTGAAGAAAACACCTTTCACAACAGTTGGCCAGATCAAGAACACTCTCCAGGAGGTAGGTGTATGTGTGTCAAAGTCAACAATCAAGAGAAGACTTCACCAGAGTGAATACAGAGGGTTCACCACAAGATGTAAACCATTGGTGAGCCTCAAAAACAGGAAGGCCAGATTAGAGTTTGCCAAACGACATCTAAAAAAGCCTTCACAGTTCTGGAACAACATCCTATGGGCAGCAGATGAGACCAAGATCAACTTATACCAGAGTGATGGGAAGAGAAGAGTATGGAGAAGGAAAGGAACTGCTCATGATCCTAAGCATACCACCTCATCAGTGAAGCATGGTGGTGGTAGTGTCATGGCATGGGCATGTATGGCTGCCAATGGAACTGGTTCTCTTGTATTTATTGATGATGTGACTGCTGACAAAAGCAGCAGGATGAATTCTGAAGTGTTTCGGGCAATATTATTTGCTCATATTCAGCCAAATGCTTCACAACTCATTGGACGCCGCTTCACAGTGCAGATGGACAATGACCCAAAGCATACTGCAAAAGCAACCAAAGAGTTTTTTAAGGGAAAGAAGTGGAATGTTATGCAATGGCCAAGTCAATCACCTGACCTGAATCCGATTGAGCATGCATATCACTTGCTGAAGACAAAACTGAAGGGAAAATGCCAAGAACAAGCAGGAACTGAAGACAGTTGCAGTAGAGGCCTGGCAGAGCATCACCAGGGATGAAACCCAGCATCTGGTGATGTCTATGCGTTCCAGACTTCAGGCTGTAATTGACTGCAAGGGATTTGCAACCAAGTATTAAAAAGTGAAAGTTTGATTTATGATTATTATTCTGTCCCATTACTTTTGGTCCCTTAAGAAGTGGGAGGCACATATGCAAACTGTTTGTAATTCCTACACCGTTCACCTGATTTGGATGTAAATACCCTCGAATTAAAGCTGACAGTCTGCAGTTAAAGCACATCTTGTTCGTTTCATTTCAAATCCATTGTGGTGGTGTATAGAGCCAGAAATGCTAGAATTGTGTCGATGTCCCAATATTTATGGACCTGACTGTATGTGCCCAGTGATGTCCTGCACAGCTGCTAACAGTACTAGTGACTATTAGGTCAGAGTTACGAGAGGGTAAATAGTTTTTGTAGACATTGGAAACAGTGTGTCTAATTTGATTCACTGTTTACACACAAATAGCGGTATTTGGCCACAATATGATGGCTGCCTCCGTGCGGACTCCGGAAACATGGCGCTGGGATTACATATATAAAGATGCTAGCGTTGTGGCGTCCTATTGAATCCCCCTGAGGAAGGCACGTGACCCTGTGGCGCAACACGTAGGGGAGGGGCTCTGATGTCATGACGCCATACGACACAGCAGAACGGCGAGTACTGTTAGTGTGTAGAGGCACACACTAATACAACAACGCTATTGTATTTTTTCTCTATGCGAGTGTGCATTTTTGGTTTGGTATTTAATAAGCCATTTATAACCAAAAGGATAAGGCACTATGTGGACAGTTATGTTTTTCATGCATCAACTGGAGAAATAAAGCAGAGAGGAGGAAACAGGAGAGAGATCCCTGCAGGATAAGGGGAGAAATCCTCATCCATCCATCCTTCACTTAAAGCCAAGAAGGGAGATCAAGAGACCCCCAGTGGAAGGAGACCTATATTACAAGTGCACTTAAGATATATATCATATGTGTTTTTAGCACAGACATTTAAATTCAGTCCAGGACTCTATATAATTCATATAGCCACAATTTATAGTTGGGCTATAGTGTGAGGATAACACAACTACATCACAAGAGGATTTTTTCACACTTTTTGATGTCATATTCGATTGGTTTATTTCACTTGCATCATTATTATATGTATTTTTGATTGGATAAATAGGGTTTATTCACTGGAAATTTATATTCATATTATCAATGTTTACACGTTTGTGTGGGAGTATTTTAAGGTATACACAGATTAGCATTTAGAATAATGTTAATTTGGGTGGAGCGCGACACATATTTATATACATTTTTAAAAAAACTGAATATACCGCTATATAAATGATCAATTCTTTTCTATAGTTCACTATGGCGTGGCAGGCTATGGCTGTGTCCACTCCCAACAGTAACAGGAGGACTACCCGTGGGTAGCTTCTAATTTCTTAAATACGATTACAAAATATATATATATATATATATATATATATATATATATATATATATATATATAGGGTATGGGAACCTTTTGAGTATTGTCCCCAGTCACTCTCACACAGAAAGGGTTATAAGTTTCCTGCACAATATATTGAGGTTGTAAATTATGTGATGTGGCTTATGTTGTAAAATCAGGCTCAATTACATTGGTCTTCAAAACATGTTATCACACTCACTCTTTACTTGTTATGCAAATGGGCTTTAAATCAACAGCTTATAAAACATACCCTTACCAGGTCAATAAACTGTATCGACTGCTCCACAAATAATTGGGCTGGTGTCTGCTACCAACATAATAATGGTATTGTGAACTCAAGGGTAGTGGATATTTGAAAATTAAAAAACACACACCTGGGCGACACAAGTCTCCATGCTGTTCTTTCTCGCTAGCATAAACCTCCATGCACCAGGCATGATAAGCAAAGGAGAAAAGATCCTCTATACGACTGGGAGGACGTAAGGCTGCATTGAGACGCTTTTGCCATTCTTGGACTTGCTCAAAGTTGGAGAACTGACACCTGCAAATAGACATCTGACTTGTCACCTCTTTCAAAGGATTAGTGCACTACAAAAAACATGCTTGGTAATGTTCTTAAATGAAACCTTCCTGAGGAAAACAGGATTCCATTGTCAATGTCTCATTCTAAGAATGCATGATGCCCGACTGTCATGTTCATTCTTTGTCCTGCTTTAGGGAATGGAAGTACAGAAGCAAAATATACAGATAAGGACTTCAGAACGTAACTTTCCAGATATTGCACACTTGTTTCAACCCAGGGATTAGGAGTACAGAATACAAAAAGGTCGGCATAACAGCCTAGTAACTAGCATTTTTTAGAAGATCAGCAAGGGTAGACCCCATATTTCCCTTTGGAAAAGTTTACTTTAATGCCGTTTCCCAGGCAGATTTCTCAATATTAACAATTATTCTTTAAAGTTCTAATCAACATTTTTCATTAACTTTAATATATCTTGATATGAGCCTCCTGTAGTCACTTGAGATGCAGCACTCAACTGAAAAAGGAGGTCAGCACTACGAGTCACTTTACTGACCGAAATATGGTTACGGAGAGGACTGACCAGTCAGCAAGCTATTACTGGCTGGTGACAGTCAATTCACTTAACAGAAGCTGACAAAAGAGAGGTCATTGACCCCCGTCCATCTACCACCCCCTCTTTGCCTCTCTCCAAAGCACAGGGTGTCTTTTCTCTCTGCTGCCTAGTTCCTTGGGAAAATCTTCCAGAAGCGACTCATGCTGATAACCAACACCAAGAGTTAAAAAGATGATGGGGAGGAAGATGCAGCACTCAGCCTGTGATTCATGCTCTCAGGTGTGCTCGTTCTCCATGTGCCCATCAGGGCACACAGCTGCCAGCTCTGTGAAGACTTCAGATCCCCATTCCCTGCTTCTAGATCAAAAGGAGAAATCATTTCTTCTTTGATTTTTCAGAAGACTCTGCAGAAGAAATGGTTGCAGATACACAGCTACCACTTCTGCAGGATTTGTTTCATCTTCTTACCTTTTGAATGTTTCACAGGAGAAGGTGTCATGACTGACCAATTTTTTTTTTATTTATTTTTTTTAAACGGCGTGTTATCAAAACAATGCAAGACACCTTTAATACTTTGCTAGGACAGTGTTTAAATCCAGTTACAATTTATAATGAACATCTGCCAGCCCAGTACAGTGTTATGGCAAAACAGCTGGCCAGCACCCTCAAACAAAGAGCTAAATAGGATTTTTTTTTTCTTGCTATAGGGTCCAGAATAGGACACAAAAAAAAAAAAAAAGGTACGATTTTTAAATATTTTTAAAGTTCTGCTATGTGAATGGGGACATGTAACAAATCTAAAGTAGGGGTTCCCAATTTGGCTGATAAAGTGGAAATTCACTTTGAAGAATAAAGTCGATCTGTGGGAGCATACTTGAGATAACTGTTCCCAGTCACTACGCTACTGTCATACTAGACAGACTAACAAAATGAAAACATTTACCTGATTACTTTGCAGTCCTTGCAGGTCAGGTGGACTTGGAAGGGATCCCGGCACTCTACTGATTCTATCAGCTGCAAAGGAACCTATAATGATAATAAAACAAATACTTAAAAACAATCCAAATCAATTTAACAGCATAATTACAAAAATCCATTGTTGAGTGGAGGCTACTCAAGATGTGTATACCTAGCTGAACTAAAAATCATTTGTACTAGGGAACTTGTTAGAAGGTCAAAGTACAAGACAGATGTGACAAATGGAAAACGGATTCCAGAATAAGTGACTGTGGTACTTTTCCAAACTGAAATCACTTGCATTAGGGAGTGTTGGCAGGTATCTTGGGAATCATCAGGTTGCTCAAACTGCTGTGACTTCTCAATGGCATCTATACACAGAGCTTTCAACATCTCAAGAAAAACCACACACTTTATCTAAGACTTGCACTTCCACTAAGGCATTATGGGAAATTGTTTTCACCAGAAACTACACCCTAGTGGCCTTCTTTATGAATATCTAGAGGTTGCTGGATTAAAAAAAAACAAAAAAAATTGAAAGTTAGACCTGATGACCAGTAAAGTATGTGAAAACAAGGAAAAACAACAAATGAGAGTTGTTATTTTTCAAAAACTAAAGGATTTACTCATGTAAAACCAAAGACAGGCAATTTTTTCTTTCAAAAGTTGATCTTACAGCCAAAGCAAGGAGGGGGGGGGGGGGGGGGAGAAAAGAAAAAAAAAAACGTAATGCCTGTAGTGAACAGCAGAAAGGCGAGCTATAAAAAAAAGGCACTCACCGGGATTTTAAAACTTGGCATGCTGTAAGATTTTTGACAAGCCCTGTGAGTGCATGTCTATACACGTGTGCAAAAAATGAAGGTACAGTACACGTGTGCTTTTTGGTTTGTATTTCTATGCAGAGAGGAGTCTGGGAAAACAAAAGCTACTGTGTCAATATCAATGTTAACTCCGGGAATGTGACTCAAAAAAAAAAAAAAAAAAAAAAAAAAACCCTTGCAGTGCTTCCTTCTGTCCACAAAATCAAGAAGCAATTAATAATAATGTCCTATTTTAATGGCCATTTGTACAAGGACAAAAAAATTGTAATGTCAGTCTAACAAAGTGACAGATTATTTCTGAAAAACACTTATAATACAAGTTCTAATTATGCATTTTTTGACTTGACAATTACGGGAAAATCCCCTATGACATTGTCTGTACGCTTAATATGCCATACATAGTACCTACATTGATAAAAGACTCTTTGTACTTAATGTTGAGACGATAATTGGACAAAGAAATGACCGCATCTTCTGCTCGCCCCACAAACTCTGTGCTCTCTCCATGTAGTTCTTGGAAAGGAACCTGGATAAATAAATTAGAATATGAAGAGGTTTGGGTAAACAAAATGACCAAAAAAAAAAAAAAATGACTGATCATGCCAATAAATGCTTTTTTATTGAAGGATGATGATCATAGGAAGCCATTTATTATCAAATAGTTGTTTGGCTCCTTTTTAAATCATAACAGAAATCACCCAAATGGCTTTGGACATCTTTTTATGTCCTTTTCCATCTTTATAAAGTTCAATTACCTTGTTATGCAGTACTTTTGACAGTTCTTTTCTGATCCCCATGGCTCAATATCTAGCCTAGTCAGTGCTTCCACGTAAGAGCTAACAAACTCATTGACTATTTATACACTGACAAATTGCAATTTAAGATGTGGGACATTAACCTCCAATTGGCCTTTTAACCCATGTGTGTCGCCTTGTGTGTCTGTACCAAGGCCGAACATTCCAGGGTATGTAAACTTTTGATCATGGCCATATGGGTGATTTCTGTTATTATGATTTAAAAAAGGAGCCAAAACAACCATTTAAATAACAAATGGCTTCATATGATCATCCTTTAATAAAAGAGCATTTTTTGGCCTGATCAGCCATTTTCAATATCAATCTCACACACACTTTTGATCAGATTCAGGTCTGGGCCATTCCAAAACTTTAAATCTTCTTCTGGTGAAGCCATTCCTTAACCATCTCAGATCAGGATAAAATCAGGGCACCAAGTGACAGCAGGGAAGTCGGAACACACCCTGGGGACCCAAGATGCCATTGTAGCCAGAGAGCGAGGTGCCAAAACAGGATAATTTACAGCATGCAGAGCACACGAACTACTGCATGCAAAGCTGGCCACGCCACCCACCCAAATCAGACACTTTAAAGATGATGGCAGGTGCGTACTGACTCCTATTTAACATGATTTTAAATGCTGAACATAGCTACATCCCCAGTTATAAGAGGGTGTGCACACTTATGCAACCACATTTTAGGTTTTTTTTTATGTTTACTCCCCCCTAAAAAAATTTTGGTTTGTTTTTCAATTGAGTTGTACAGTTTATAGATCACATTAAAAAAGGTGATAAAAAGTTCTGAAATGGTTTATCGTGGACTCATTTTTTTACATCACAGAAACCTGACATTAACACTTCTTATATTATGTATAATATATATATATATATATATATATATATATATATATACACACACACACACACACACACACACACACACACACACACTGTAACAGGCTCACCTGAAGGTTTTCATCTTCACGGATCAGCTGCTTACGAGGGAAAATCTGATTGGCTTGAATACACTCTAAGCTATTCTGACTTTCATCATCCTAAGAAAAAAAAAAAAAAAAAAGCGATAAGCAATTAAGCACTACACATGAAGACTAACAGTTGTGTGCTCTAGTCATTATCTCACCATGTTTTATCCAGAACAGTTGCAGAAGGCAACAGTGGAAGACTGCTCTTCTTTGAGGCCTCTCCACAAAATCAGATACTCCTAAAACACAAAAAAATTCCCAAAGTAATTTCTTTATTTCAGAGCAAAATTCTTGACATACTCTTCAGAAATATAACTTTTCACGTAGGTGCTACAACAAATAAACCAAAAGAAAAATAAACAAACAGTCATAACAAATGGGAATAAAAATATCCCAGACTATTTGGCTTTCCAGCAAAATGGGACTAAAAAGTGTCAATAAGAGAAAAATACTAAGCAATAAAATGACTCAATTTAGAGTGTAAGCTGATGACATAACAGAATGCAAAGATTTGCAAATCTCAAACCCATCTTATTCACAATATTGAACAAATCAAATGTTTAAAACTGAGAAAATGTACCATTTTAAGAAAAAAAAAAAAAAAAAAAAAGGTAAATTTTGAAATTGATGGCAGCAACTCATCACAAAATGTTGGGACAGGGCCAGGTTTACCACAGTGCAGCATCCCCACTTTTTAATAACACTCTGTAAACACCTGGGAATGAGGAGACCTGTTGCTAGAGTTTTGAGAGGAATGTTGTCCCATTCTTGCCTAATATAGGAGTCTAACTGCTCAACAGTCCTCGTTCTCCTTTGTTGTATTTTTTGTTTCAAGATGCACCAAATATTTTCAATTGGTTAAAGGTTTGTCCTGCAGGCAGGCCAGTTAAGCACCCAGACTCTTCTACTGCAAAGCAATGCTGTTGTCATAGATGCAGTACACGGTTTTAGCATTGTTGGTGAAAAATGCAAGGCCTTCCCTGAAAAAGACATTGTCTGGATGAGAGTATATGCTGCTCTAAAACCTGGATATACAGCATCTTTCAGCATGGATGGTGCCCGTTCCAGATATGCAAGCTGCCCATTCCATATGTACTAATGAACCACCATACCATCAGAGATGCAGGCTTTTGAACTTGAGCGTTCATTACAAACCGGGTGGTCCCTTCTCCTTTATTCCAGAGGACACAGCTCCCATAGAACAGTTTTCCACTAGACCACTTTAAATGACCACTGGCCCAGGGAGGGCGCGGTGGCATTTTTGGATCATCTTCAGATATGGCTTCTCCTTTGCAGGATAGAGCTTTAGCCTGCATTGGTTCTGGATGACACAGCAAACTGTGTGGGGGGGGGGGGGGGGGGGGAGGGAGGAGGAGGAAGGAGGAAAGAGAACTAAAAGGGAAGGAAGGGGGGGGGAGCGAAAGGGAAGGAAGGGGGGGGGGGGGAGAGCGAAAGGGAAGGAAGGGGGGGGGGGGGGGGGAGCGAAAGGGAAGGAAGGGGGGGGGGGGCGAAAGGGAAGGAAGGGGGGGGGGGGGAGCGAAAGGGAAGGAAGGGGGGGGGGAGCGAAAGGGAAGGAAGGGGGGGGAGCGAAAGGGAAGGAAGGGGGGGGGGGGGGGAGCGAAAGGGAAGGAAGGGAGCTAAAGGGAAGGAAGGGGGGGGGAGCAAAAGGGAAGGAAGGGGGGGAGCGAAAGGGAAGGAAGGGAGCTAAAGGGAAGGAAGGGGGGGGGGGAGCGAAAGAAAGGGAAAGAAGGGGGGGGGCAAAAGAAAGGTAAGGAAGGGGGGGGGGGGGAGCAAAAGAAAGGTAAGGAAGGGAAGGGGGGGGGGGGCAAAAGAAAGGTAAGGAAGGGGGGGGGGGGTTTTTGGCAAAAGAAAGGTAAGGAAGGGGGGGGGGGGGGAGCAAAAGAAAGGTAAGGAAGGGGGGGGGGGGGGAGCAAAAAGAAAGGTAAGGAAGGGGGGGGGGGGGGGGAGCAAAAGAAAGGTAAGGAAAGGGGGGGGGGGCAAAAGAAAGGTAAGGAAGGGGGGGGGGGGAGCAAAAGAAAGGTAAGGAAGGGGGGGGAGCAAAAGAAAGGTAAGGAAGGGGGGGGGGAGCAAAAGAAAGGTAAGGAAGGGGGAGGGAGCAAAAGAAAGGTAAGGAAGACGGAGCGAAAGGGAAGGAAGTTCTAACTTACCAAACATTCCATATCTTGTGAGTACAGTACAGGAAACAGCAGGCAAAAGTATTCATAGGCCCCAAGTTATAGGCTTGTACCTTTAGGTGACTGGACACTGGCAAGCTTCTGTAGACACACCCACTGGGTGCATCCAATATAACTATACCCTACTCCATAAGTCCTCCGTTCTGTAGCAAGCAATGCAAAGTAACCAAAAGTTGGGAGTGTGGCATGTGGCCTGTACTGTACTTCAAGATATTGAATTTACATGCAAGTCAAAGTTACTCTTATCCTAATAGGCAAGTACGAAAGCAAAGCATCATATACAGTACAGAAAGCAAAGTATTCATAGGCCCTGGGACAATCGCCAAGCAATGAATGAGAAGAGTGGGCAACTAAGCAAACAGAACTGTGCCAACAGGTCCAACAATAAGGCTTAACAGACCCTACTTCAGAGAGTCACTGATAAAACCTTGTAGCTGAAAGCAGCAACTGCAGAGGTTTGGACATCCACCTGCTAAAACTTTGAAAAAAAAAAAGGTATAACAGGGGACCAGGTGGCAGCTTTACAAAGTTGAGCTACAGAGGCCTAGTGCCAGAAAAGCCCAGGAAACTCCCAATGATCTGATGGAAAGAGCGCAGGAGGAGACTTGTCCTTTACATAGTTACATTGTTAGTCTGGCTGAAAAAAAAAAAAAAAAAGACAAAAGTACATCCAGTTCAACCATACAATGTAAGCTCTGGTGATCAATGGTGACTGCAGCAGGGTGTTCTTTGTGAGGCCCTGTGAAAGATTGAAATGGGAAGGTCTTCCTTATGGAAGTAGTTGAATTGAGGTAGACTAATGGCTCTGACTACACCCTGGGAATGAAGAGAGAATTTGCTTTTGACGCTTTGGAGCAGGATATAGGGATGGTAAGACTGTCTTAATTGAGGTTGGGTGGATGTGCGATAACCACCTTAGAAGAAAGGATGGCCTTGGACTCAAGACTACCCTTGTAAAGAATGAGGAATGGCCCTCTATAAGAGAAACACCTGAAGGATATGAAGCTACCAAAAAAGTCACTTTGCATGACAGGCCATCTAGAGGGATTCAAAGGTTGGTTTCTGCAGGGCAAAGAGAACCACACTGATAGTCCAAGACAACAAAGGGGGTTATAATGGGAGACCAACACACAGAGATTAACTTTAAGTGAAAGTTTTCAAAAGGACAATGGGAAGCCAGAGCTTTTGAAAAAAAGAATGGATAAGGCTGAGGCCTGTTCTTTCAGAGGGCTTAAGGCCCAAATCTTAATATAGAAGGCCAGAATGTGAGAGACAGAATACTCTGGGATTAAGGTGCCTGTGTTCACACCAGGCAAAGAAGGATTTCTAGGTACAATCGTAGATTTTTTTTCCTTTCTGCAAGTGGCTTTTCTTGCTTTATTCAAGGTAGGAATAACATTCAAAAACATTAAAACCAGTGGCTGAGAAGTAGGATGGAATAGGGGGTCCTAAGAAAGCAGGTCTGGCCTGCTGGGAAGAAGCCAGGGGTCAGCCTCTCAAAAGTCTAAGTATGTCTATGTACCAGGTCGATCTGGGCCAGTTTGGTGCAATTAGAATCACCACAGTCTTCTCTTGCTCTATATGGTTGGGAAAAGAAGGTAGAATTAGCAGTGGAGAAAAGGCACAGAGTAGCCTGAACTGAGACCAGGAGATTATCAGGGCAGCAGGGGCTAGTGCTAGAAGATCCTTGGTTCTAGTATTCTGTTGAAGCAGGATGCCTACATGAGGAGTCCCCCATTTCTGACTTCGGTTGAATGCGTCTGGGTGAAGGACCCATTACTCCCTGGACCAGGCAGGGGAAGCAGAGTCTGCTTTCAAGTTGTCCACTCCTGGGATGTAGACTGCAGAGATTACTGGCGAGTTTCCAGTCTTGGTTACCTGGTTTGCTTCCCTCGGCTGCAAGACTCCTTGTCCCCCCCCATTTGTGGATGATATAGGCCGCAGCAGTGTGACTATCTGGCAGCACCCTCAATGGTGTCCTTGCAAAGGGGGGTCCAGTGTTTATTCCTCTGAGCTCCACTCTTCCCTTGCCTAAAAGGCTCATCTATTGTTATCAATTTCCAGTTATATAGGAAGAAAGGATTTCCCCCCCCCCCCCCCCCCCCCCCCCCCCCCCCCCCCCCCCCCCCACCCCCCCCCCCCCCCCCCCCCCCCCCCCCCCCCCCCCCCCCCCCCACGCCCACCCCCCCACCCCCACCCCCCCCACCCCGCCACCCCCCCCCCCCCCCCCCCCCACCCCCCCCCCACCCACCACCCACTCCCCCCCCCCCCCCCCCCCCCCCCGCCCTCCCCCCCCCCACCCCCCCCCCCATTTTAAAACTTGGGGATGGAGACCCACCAAGTTACGCAATCCTTGCTTGGCTGGAAAGGTGCAAAGGGAAGATCAAGAGAAGGAGTATGCTTGTTCCAATTCAAAAAATGTTTTGTTGGAGAGGTCCTGAATACAACTAAATGAATAGTACAGCCCCAAAAGGAGGCTACATTAGGAATTACTTTTTGGGATGTCTCTTTGATCCTAATTCTTAAGTGTGGGCTCAGAGTATTTTCTTTTCTGGAAGTAAAACCTTTGCTTGCAATGTGTCCAGAGCCAGACCCAAGTATTCCACATGGAGAGAAGGTTTCAGAGTACAAATTGATCACCCAACCAAAGGCCTGGAACATCTGTATTATCCTGTGGATGTTTGCAGATAACTGGAGGGAGAGGTGCCCTTCAGGAGAAGGTTTGTCTAGATAACCTGGGACCTGGATGTCCTGAGTTCTGAGAGGAGCTAGAAGAGGTGCTAATAACACTCGTGAATACTCTCTGATCAGAGGATATCCAGTGTTGGATTTTGTTACTGTGAACAGGTTTGAGTAAAAACCTTTGAACTTGTTTTTG